AACATGTATAGTTCCATTTAATCATCATCATCAATGATCATATTCAGGTTTGATCCATCACTTAATGTATTGACACATGTCCACTGTGTATTTATTGTAGAACACGTCTTAATACACTATTTATGAATAAGTGTGGATGGCTCCTTAAAAAAACTGTCGATAGAATAGACTCCCGACTATTACTAATCACACCTTTTAGAAACCACGAACTTACAAGTTATGTTGTATCTCACTCTATATTGGGGTGCTACACTGATTGATACATGGTTCAATACCTGTATACCTTAAAGTCTCATAGGAATTTAAACTTCCTTCCATGTCAGTACTCCATTAACTATTAAAAAACTGCTGTGCCTTACATACATTTAAATCATTCAGATAAGAATTTCTACACAACCCTCTCAATTAATGCCCAAACAGAAGGTTTTGTGATACATGATCTAAACTGCAGGTCCAAATGCTTCTGGCCGAAGTAGCACTAGTGGAAGAAGAAATAGATTGGCTTGAGAGGAAAATAAAAGTGTTGAAATTGGACATATACCAAGAGAAGAAGCAGAACAAACAATTGGAAGAGAGTATTGAATTGATGGGAAGACAGCCCATATGGGATCAACGACAACTAAAGAAGCTTCCATCAAGAAGGCCTAGCCAGATGGTACAACACAAGGACCAAGACAAACTCATCACATCTCAAAACTACGAGAATAGAAGAAGATACAACAGAATTCCAAGAGAGAGGAGAGCATCTTTCGATTCCTCTATGGAGCTTCAAACTGTAACTTCCCACAGAAAATATGGTAAACCCAGTTTTCCCTCTTACCAATGGAAGATGGATAGTTAGAAAGACTGCCCTTTGATTTTCGTGGAGTAATATTTTANAAAAAATCGTGAAGGGTTTGTAAATTTGTGACAATCAATACCCCTGCCGGGATTGTAATTTATCAAAAGAGACAACAATACCTGTAAAATTTATTTTGTACTCTCTCATAGGCGAAATTAAGATGATTGCATTTATTTTTCAGCTCTGGAAACAGAAGAGGAACTGGGGAACTCAAGATACTCAGTAAGTCGCATGGTTCACAATCGGTTGGATATAGAAATTGAATCTGTAATAAACCCAAATAAGCTCTCGGTAGAGCTTATCAAGTGCTTGATGGGCATATTCCTCAAATTGAACCAAACATACAAAAGCAAGGGAACTACTAACCTTACAAAACATACTCTGACCTGCATAAACTCGAAAGGGTTGGTATGCAAAGCAGCATTCAGCTGCACAATGCCCGTTTTCCCATTCGTTTGCAACGCATACCATCTTGATCCTTATGCGATATTGCCTGAACCTGACATAAACATCAGAGACATTGGGCCGTACAAAAATTTCATACAGATCACAAGAAATACACTTGATGTAAGCCGACTTTCTGAATGTCTTCCAGACATAAGGAGACTGAGGTAAGATCCTGCATTCTTTTAGCTACTTTCACATGAAACAACTTTGATAGTTTCTTCTTTCCAGGGTGTTGATGCAGAAACTGAAGAGAATAAATATAAATTACTTCACCCACAAGCAAAAGTTGGCATTTTGGATCAATGTCTACAATGCCTCAGTAATGAATGTACTGAAGACATGTTAAATCAATTTTTTTTTTTTTTTTTTTTTTTTGGGGGGCAAAACAGACTTAGCAGTGTCTATATAATGTCCTCCATTCATAGGCATTTCTACAACACGGACTGCCTTCCACAGAGGAGAAGCTGCTTGCACTCATGAAAGAGGTAACATCCGGTGTTTTGCTCTATTGGTATTCAGCATTCATAGAAATATACTAGTAGAACATACACTACGTTCTTCGTCTCCATCGCATAAGAACAGAATAAAGTGAAGGGAAAAAAATTAGGCTCAATCTACCCAGGAATAAGACAACTTATACAGTAACACGATCACATCATTTCATCAAAATTATAACTTGTAATGGAATAATCTCATCCAGGCTAGGATTGATGTTGGTGGCTTCATGTTTAAGGCTTCCAAAATAGAGCAATTCATCCTTCGACATCCAGCAGATATTAAAAATGTGAGTAAAGAAAACCTTATCTACTCTCTGTGACACGATTGTTGGTTAGTAGTTTTACACGAGTCAATATACCATGTTTCTAAAATGACTTTATATAAGGGGTCCCTGCATTGAGCATATTGTTTATGACACAATCATATTGACCAACAGAAATCAACCAATGAGAATGAGATGCTTCTAAGGCATGCTTGTGGACTAAGCTATCCAGAACCAATGGTTATATTTGCTCTTTGCAGAGGCAGCTGGTCTTCACCAGCGGTAAGTGCAGTATACTGATATTACGCAACATTTAACAAGTTATAGTCACAATCTATGCAGCTAAAGTTGGCATTTGCAGTTAAGGTATTACACACCGGATGAAGTAATGAATGAATTAGAGAAAGCTAAGGTAGAGTATTTGGAAGCTTCAATTGGAATTACAAGCAGGAAAAAGATTTTGGTGCCAAAGCTCATGCAATGGCACATGAAAGACTTTGCTGACGATATGGAATCTCTTTTAGAATGGATTTACAGCCAATTGCCATATACAAGCTCATTGAAAAGACTGATAATGGAATGTCTAAATGGAGAGACTCAATCTCCATCACAAAAGCTGGTAGAAATTCAGCCTTATGCTTCTGAATTTCGCTACTTGATTCCAGTATAATAAAAAGATGATGAACCCCACAGAAGATATGAAAATCGACACGAATGTGAAATGTTAGACATTTTCTAAGATTTGTCAGTGTAAATCCTTCTAGCTCAGAGATTGTAATGGTGGATAAAAGAATAGATGCTGTTTGGTTCGTGATTACTGTACAAGGAATTCTAATTTGATGAATAGACACTGACTTTTCTAAGTATGAAATGAATGAGATTCAGCAGATTAGCTCTCCAATAAAGGGAGTTACAATAAGATATACAACAAAAGAATAAGGAAATGTTACTTTTCATACAACAATACGAAAACTTTTACTCCCCCTACATGGGGTCTTCTATACGATACCACACTATAGTTTATCAAATGAAGTTATTATCATTTATTTCTAGGTACCTAAAAAGAGAAAACACACCTTTGACAGCTGAACTGAAGCCTGTAATATTAGACTTTCAAAAGCCTTTCTTTATATTTAGATCCATCTATCTCGCTGCTTTCTTTCTCATATTCAGGCTTTGCACTAACGGGATGAATGGGAAAGCGCAATGGCTTCGAATTAGTCGTACATGCAGTCGGCACTGGAATATGAATATTGGCTTACCGCTTCCAGACTTCCCAGGGAAGTCCTATGGTGAGTAGCAAGACGGGCCTCGCTCCTTATTGGTCTATGATCCCCGACGGTCAAGCGCACAACCAGAAAGAGATGACTAATCCCGACTCGCTTGCGCCTTCCCTTTTTGGCCTGGACCACCCAACCGCCCTAGCCTCTGCTGATGCTAATGCTAATGCAGTCCTCTCCAATTTCTTTTAGGGCTTCCCTTTTCTCAAGGTGAGTGGAGGATTTTCCACTTTCAGTACATCACAAGGCAGTTAACAATCTGCTATGTAGATGTCCAAAATAATGACAAGTTTGACCCAATATTTTTCTCATCTACTGGTGTTAACATATTCTTTTTCTAATATTTTCATTTCTTTGTTTTATCTTACTGTCTCCTCTCATACATCTTTTCATTGGTGTTCATCTTTAGTCGCCTAACATTCTGCTCATTATAGTATTGCAAGGCACTGTGGCATTATTCCAAAATTGCTTTTCAGTTTCAACTTTTTTGGTGTTTCATAGTCACAATTATTGATCACTCTGTACACTACAGACTACCAAAAATTGTGGAAGTGAATATTATCCTTCATCTCTCCAACAATTTTTCTGCAGAGATCACTCTAATATCACAAGAAATCTGAAATGTAATTTTGCTCAACTGTAACAAGCGTTAACCAAAACAAAACAACAGTAAAAAAAAGAAAAAAAGAAAAGAAAATTTGAGAGTTACAAGATACAACCCTTCAATTTTTTCTCAAAATTGTATCATCAAGGGATTGGTTCAGCTAAGAATACCACAATCCTATTTAACAGATTTAAACCAAATACAGTTTCTTCACAGTTCATTTTTACCGACACCTCAAGTGGTTGATTGCAAGTACCTTTAAGAGTAAGTGTGACAAGACAAGGAATAGAGTTACTCAAGATCTCAGCACTGAACCGCAAGCATAAACCAGATACGTCATTGAGGTTAGCAGAAACAGGCAACTCCATGGATACGAGAAAAAAATTTGCATTGCTGAGCATTTTCAACGCCAATTTCTCACATATAATTAGAAAATTATCTTTTGTCCTTGAGCTGTCCTCTTTCACATTCAGCTGGCTAATGTGATCGGTAAAGGTGCAGCTGCACAACACAGCAAAAAAGATATTCAGTACATAGCCACAGTTTATTAAAAGAAAAAACAAGGTTATTTATTTAAATAGTTTTAATATTTCAAGGAATTATGATATTGGGGAGGTGCACAAATCTAAAACTGAAGAACAGCAAGTATTAATTCTATGAGGATTAACACAAAAACGGATAACTGATGCAAAGGAGATTTTCTCTGAAAGAAAGCTTGTTCAAGAGTGGCATACTGAAAAATGCATTAATTATATTCATATATGACGTGCAGTTAACATAGACCACTGGAAGTTGAAACTCAAATGTTCAAATTAACTGACCTTCTCGTATACTCAAACATTCCTCGAAGTTGAGACTCCTTCTTTGTAAATATTTCAATATTCATTGGAATAGGTTTGATAAAGTAACCAATGTCTGGTCGTAACTTAACAGCTTGCTTTCTGCCGTTACACCATAAAACCAGCTTTAAAGGCAACAGATGATGCTCAAAGTGAACCTGGAGTTTTCTGTTCATTGTCTGACCAGGACCCAGACTCCCTATCTCATCCATGGGTACCAGAGCTGGCACTGCAGCATGAGAGACTGAAATGCTGCAGAGCAAAATAAAAAAGTATCAATGTTTGTCTTAGGGACCACTGGGCAATCATGTAGTGAAAAAAGCTTGGACTTGATAGTAAAGAAAGTGGACCATAGAAGTTTTGTCATCATCTCGAAAGAAAATTAGTATCATATCGACGGTTGGAGTATCTGAGAGGTGGGGGACGTGGGTCTCTAAGAGTAAGCAGATGGCTAAAATGATAGTGAAACATGAGAAAAAAGGACCAAAATTAAATTGTAAAGCCATATGCTAGATAGGCAATACGAAGAACTGAAGATAGAGGTCCAAATTCAGAAAACTAAGCACCAAGAATGCAGTCTGTTTAAACTCATTTGAACAAAATAGCTTATTTCTCTTTTTCAACTCATTGAGGCTATTATGTGGGTTTTCGGTTTTTCACTAAGGTTCCACTCATTCGCAATTCATTGCATATACATATTTCCACAAACCATTTTTTTTTTTTTTTTTNGACAGCGTTGCAAATGTAGTTAGTAATTTAGTTACAACACAAATAAATCTCAGGAACAGTACCCAAAATTTGTGATAAATGAAAAGAAATAAAAAATCGTTATTAACTCTCATATACAAAAATTTAGCAGTTGCTAGGGTCATCTTAATTTAATACTAAAATTATTACGAGAGATCTCAGGTTCTAAGGATATGAAGTAATTTTAACAGGCATGCAACATAGATATTACTGAATAACCTGTAGTTTGAATAGACTGTTGCCCTAAATACATGAGGTGCATATTGCAATTCCAGGTCAACATATTGAGCATAGTCAAAAAGCAGCAACATGTACCTTTCACTTGATACCACAGATTTGTACAAAAATGAAAAGAAATTTGTGATAAATAAATCTAGTTACAAAAATTTGTGATAAATCTCAGGAACACAAATAAATCTCAAGAACAGTACCCAAAATTTGTGATAAATGAAAAGAAATAAAAAATCGTTATTAACTCTCATGTACAAAAATTTAGCAGTTGCTAGGGTCATCTTAATTTAATACTAAAATTATTAAGAGAGATCTCAGGTTCTAAGGATATGAAGTAAATTTTAACAGGCATGCAACATAGATATTACTGAATAACCTGTAGTTTGAATAGACAGTTGCCCTAAATACATGAGGTGCATATTGCAATTCCAGGTCAACATATTGAGCATAGTCAAAAAGCAGCAACATGTACCTTTCACTTGATACCACAGATTTGTCCGAAGAATCAGAAGCTTGATTAGGTTCCTCTTCAGACAGCAATATATTTGACATAGGCTCCGCAGAACAATTCCTAAAGGAAACTTGTAAGCATACCAGTTGAGGAGATGAGCTTGACACCTCTGTTGAAAATGTATAATCCACACTTAACCCATTTCCATTTGAAGGATCTACAAGTGTATATGACTTGGGTTTAACCAGATGACCGATGTCCTTAATTGAGATTCTAGCCAATGATATGTCGACCTGATCTACAGCGGATGGATTCTGGCGTGAACCAGGACTTTCATTCAACCATGACTCGAAAGATCTTTTTGGCATTAATTCCCCCAAATCCATCAAGCTAGAGGAATTATTCTCTACCAAGCCTTCGTTATTATTACTAGATGCAGGAGCGCCATCTGAAAGATGAATTAATGCACCATCTTCTTCAATTTCATCGCTATCAGATGCACGATCATAGCTGCTGTCACCATTACTTGAACCGGAAGCAGAACCTTGAGGACTGTAGTCAGAAGTGTTTTCTTCATCCAGAGATCCAGACACTGATTCAGAATCACTAATGTTACTTGGATCACTATCAAAAGTTCTACGTCCCTCTGTACGACTTGGGGAATGGCCATTTCCATCATCAACACTACTACAAGGTTCTGGGAGAGGTTCATATCCAGGAGCTGCATGAAGTACTACCTGTGAGAGAGACCCCGGAAGATAAAATCTGTAACTGAAAGGTTCAGATGGCACTTTTATTTGTCCCCCAAATATGTACTGAGCAAGTACATATGTCAGGTCTTTGAATTCTGTTGTGTCGTTTACTTCAGAATCATGCAATCCAGCACAATGTGATAGCAAATTCTTCAGAACATGAGCACGATCACGAACATCATATTTTGAGTCACAGTTGGCTAGTTCAAGCACATACCGGACAGTTATTCGTAGGTCAGAAATATCCTCTACATTGGCATGTAATAGGATCTGGGGAAGAGATGAAAATAGATCATAAAGTTATCGAAAAAGGTAAAATTGCGCACTCCATTCTTCAAGCTTCAATAATGGCTTAGACTCTTTTATCATATATTATACTGAATAAACCAGACATGCATTTGTGGTCATCTTCACATAAAAAAAGTAACAAGAGATTACAAACAATTGCTAAAGCCATGTATGACATGAACCGAGACAAGAAAATGCAGACATTAACTCGTAGAGCGAATACCGAATACAATTCAGAATTCAAATCGCTAGTAATTTAGAAGGTTTCTATGTCAGGATTGTAGCTTGCAAGAGATGGTAAAACAAAGATATTCTAAGGCGGAAAACTCTCTATGCCAACAAAATGACCTTAATTAAATGGTGGTTATATGCATGTGGGCTTTCAACAGCCCTTTTCAGTTACAAGCATACTGCTACTCAATCTGCTTAATGATGAAATGATCAAAGTCAGCTACTATCTTTTCTTGATAAATTCAAGCTCGTCAAGAGAGATTTCTAGATAGCCATATTTGATATTAATGGTATCTAGCGGATACCAATATGCCCATGCACATTCAGATCAAAGTACTAAGTGAAAAAAGAAAGCACATAACCAATTCTGTTACCTACCTTGACACAAGAATTAATTATCTGCAGCTTTGTATCAACCGCCTCTAAAGAAAAGCGTTGAGCCAGATACTTCAATACTGTGGGTATCATCTTTGACATGAGGCTCCCAATGTTGCAGTATTCACCCATCATCCATACAATCATCGCGCGTGCTGCGGGTGCACACATTGAATCCAAGCTTCGAACCAAATGAACAATAACCTTCAAATAATGGAAGCTTGAGATGCAGAATTATTCGTATAAAAGGGTTCGTGTGTGTGAGTGCATGTGTGACGGTATGATGATTTAAGGTAGAACCAGCATGGTTACCAACTCATATAAATGCAGTACTTAAAACGTATTGATATGAGAACCTAGTATGAAAGATAAAGAAAAGCAATCTAGATAGACATACAGAAACTCATCTTTTCTTTTGCAAGATAGTGAAACACGGAAACCAATGATCTCAACTAAAAGAATGGTGTCAGATCAGATAAAAGGGAGTAACTGAACTGGCTTAGCCACTCAGGTTGGGGCCTTGGCATCATGGAGCGTCTATGGTTAAAGAGCTTTAACATGCCCAGCAGAAAAGCTCACTATTTGGCAGATAAACCTTGGTATGGACCTTGAATTGTCGCTGATGTAATTTATTTCCCTTCATTATTCATCAAAATTAGGTCACGTAAAAGCTTCAATTTGTAAGAACAACATCGTGAGTGTTTTGACTCAATTAGTCCAAGACATGGAGAATGCTTGATGACCTACCTTCAACTGAAAATTAATTACCATTAATAGCATCAGCTATTGTCGGTGATGGTAGTAGGAAGAATTATCATCAAGAGCATCGAAAAGCATGAATCCAAGGGTATGCATCAATAAAATCCACCAATATAAGCATGTGAATTTGTAGAAAAAGGATTTCCACACATTCTGGGGTACATGGACATGGTATGACTCTAAAACAATTGCATGTCATTCTAACTGTCCGCTAATTATTTGTTTACCAAATAATATTCTGATCCTTCCCACATCAATGAATGTGAATGATTGGGACTGAAGTAATATTTACAATTAGAGTACAAATATTGACCAGTAAAGAAGAGAATCCAAACTTACTTTCTCATGACTGGGGGGGTCTTGTTTTATGATTGCCATTAGACACCTAATAACTTGAACTAATACAATTTCTTCTTCGCCAAAAGATGCAGCATCTTTATTCAAAGGTTCTGAAATTTGTACACCGATGGATAAATAAGACAGCAGAAAAGGAAATCAAATGAAAGGCACACACTTGTCACAAAATAGAAAGAATGACAATTACCAGAAAGAGCCAGAAACAATAGCCCTTCCATACATGTTTTGGAAACGTCAGGTAATCTTTGTGCACATAAACCGATTGCAGCAACAGTATCAGCGGCAAACTTTCTGTCTGGATCTCTAATATAATCCTGAGAATTAGTTGAAAGATAAGCTTCACTTAACGAAAATAAATCCAAAAATATTTATACCAATCTTCAACACACCAATTCCCAACAAGACCTTGTTCCAACCAATATAAAATGTCAATAGCATAGATTATTACCTACCAGGGCAAGATGAACAAATACAGAGAGGAGTTGACCATAATGTTGGCATTAAGTATTCAGGCAAACATGGTGAATGGTACACGATGAAATATATAAACCAGAAAAGGGCAGGGTAACTAAATTAATACAACGAAACCCACGTGGACATATGGAAATGGAAGGAGAAGACAACAAAATGTGCTAGGATTTACGGAATTGATACTTTTGACATAGCAGGTCGAACATGGCACACTCCAGTACACTCATCTTGATACTAATTCCGGGGACCGGGGGCATGTCTTGCATCCACCTAGTATATTTCTTCTCTTAACATTCAGCCATATGTGAAGCCCAACATAAAACTTTCTAATGCATAGGTTGCCATGAGGATGTCTAAAGAGTCTAATAGGAAGAGTGAACTGAATCGGCGATTGCAATAATTTGAAGTGCCAATTTGAATTGGGGAGGAGCCATCTTAAAGTAACCAACACCATATTCTTTTTTACATGTAAAAATACAAATCTGAATCCTTTAGCAAAATGGAGAATATGAGTGGGGTAGGGTTCTAAGTTCAAGCATAAAAATAAGAAGTTGTTCAATATTAAAATCAATATAAACTGAAAATCCCAAAATCATTCAACAAAATTCATAATCCAACTATATATAGACCAAAATAATCTTTGATAAAATCAACAGTTACCAGGACATTTCAGAAAAAAAAAATTAAAAATGTTGATTTCATAAATTGCCCTTACTAGGACAGCATGAACAAAATACGGACAAAAAATGTTTCTTCAATTGGGTTAAAGTATTAAGAGAAACATTTTAGTGTATAATGATGACCTCAATAGAATATGCCATAGTAACTAGAAAAATATACCAAAACCACTGTAGAGATTGGAATGGAAGGGGAAGTCAGTCTGAAGGTCTGCTAAGATTAGAATATTGTTCAGCACTTATAATCTGTATTTCAATATGATAGTTTAAGCCAACAATGCTTTCTTTTGGAGAAATAAATAAATAATCTCCAAAACTAGAATCTAATTCCAAAATCCTTCAATAAAATTGCAAAATGACAGAATAAGTCCTACCACCTTACTATTTCGGTGAACATCTAGCAACCCTAACAACCTTTTTTCTCTCCTTAAATTCTAAATCATTCCGAAATAAGAAGCTTATTTTTTACAGTTTTACTATATTACACCAACTGGAAAGACTGTTCATTAACCAGTAACTTGGACCAGGTCAAGCATCATTGCTTCAGACCCCATGTGAGCATTTCATTCTTTCCCAAGTCTCAACACCTTTTCTTCCCTTTCTTCTGCGTTCATTTTGTTCTTCATGGTTATCTCCAATAAGTAATCGAAAATTATTGGTGAAGACTGCATCCTAAGAAGCTGCCACTATGGCAAGAACCACTTAGACATTACAAATCCACGAAAATCAATGATTATGAACAAGCACTTGCCAGTTCGTTGCAAATTGAATGGTTTTACTGCTTGAGCTACTATTGGTGGCCTTGGCCAGGAAAACAGTTCAGATAGCATGTCAGTAAGGATTGTAAGAACTGTGTTACACAGACTGTGAAAAGACTGAATTAAACAAATCATCCAAGTGTTCTCAAAATGGAAGGATAAACAACCTATAAATTGGCAGTACCTGAAACTCCAGAAAAATTGAAGACATTGACGAGGATGTGGCTATAGAGGAAAGTATTTCAAGCTTCAGAGATTTCATTCGATATGAGTCCGAAGAGCTGATAAAGAAATCTTCAAAACAAGGGGAAAATAAAGATGGTACTGCTTTGGCGAACACCTGAATGTTGCAAAGGACCTGCAAGCAGAAGCAATTTCTAACGGTCAGTTAAAGAAAGATCGTCACATTGGTGAAACTAGCATGTACAATAAATGATCATGCCTACATTAATTGGTAAGTGAGATTGACCCACAACTTGAGAAACAGATACGTCACACCTACAATCATAACTACTGCAGAAGACTTCAAGGAAAAGAACTATATGATCGTATGCTAAGATGACTGAGTTTAGTAAGAAGTTCATGCTGTCAACGATAGCTTAGTAGCCAGTTAGATACAAGAAAAAAAGCTTTTGAATACTAAACACACAATCTGATGAGAAATAACACTAGCTGCCGGGTGAATCTTTAACAGTGGACCAATTTCCATGTAGTAAACGTAGGAATATTCTCTAAAAAAAAAATCAGTATTTCTTTACCACCTAATTATCTATGTTTAACTTCTTATAGAAGGAATCAAAAGAAGAATAAAATATTTCAAGAGAACTAAAATTGAAAACCGTCACAATTGTGCTCATATGTACCATAGGCGAACAATTTAACAATAAACTCAATGTAATTACATTTCATACCAATGCAGCAAACATAACAAATTAAATGTGAACTACAATCTCGATCTAGAACCATACCAGAGTAAATACAGAACTGAATATCTAGCATAATTTCATGTAATATATATTTATATGTATACCAGGAAATATATGAACTATAGAGGCTATGTGAACAATGTTTGCGATGAAATACCAATACAGAATTCCAAGAACATACCACATATTTTGAAGAGCTGGATGACCTCAGCAAAAAGAGCAAGGGCTTCACTATCTTTTTAAGATCCTCTTTTGGCGCCATGATCCAGTGAACGCCAGCAGCAGCCAGCACTACAGCACTGTTAGAACTCCATAATAAAGGTAATGTACATTGCAATAATATCTTCACATCATCGTTGTTGGCTGATGCAACAAATGAACCATTCAATCCAACAGATTCTCGAGTTACATGACCCATTTGAGATAAATATTTGTCTGGTCCTTCAAGGTAGCTCCTAGAGACTACATCTATAATCTCAGGACATATCTCAATGTCGGTACCATCAATGGAGTTCCTCATAGTAATATTCGGTTCTGACTCCTCCTTAGAGTTATCCATCCTCAATGTATTGGAAGACATCATTAAGGATTCTCTAACCAGTCCATGTTTCGCAATTGCATACCGTAACAGAATCCCAATCAAGACAATCTGACCCCATTCTTCCACATCCGGAAGAGTCTCACACAATCTTTTGTAATTTCTTCCAATCAGAGAAAAATTATTCGGACATATGGAAGAAAAAGCAGCTGCAGCAGCACCAACTACTCCAGGAGAGTTGTCCTTCAACAACATTCCAACAATCTGCAACATATCCATAGTCAATTAGCAGTTTAGCGCATAAAACTTATGCAAAGGAGAATACCAAGCTTAGGAAATCAGCTTCTTTAAAGCAATGTGATCAATGGTAGATGGTGTTAAATGGCGGCCGCCTGACATCCTGCCATATACACTCTCCATGGCAGTGTTAGGAGCAACCATAATCGCCATCCTTACACAAATCATCTTTCAGATATTGGCGCCCACTCGTTTAATAATCGAGATTTCAGGAAAATAACTAATGGAGGAAACAGAAGATGCTAAGCAAACCTCTTCAATTGCAGCAGTGTGTTCCTCCAGGCGCAAATCATGTAGCTTGGGCAATGCAGTCGCAGCACATTTCCGGACATATACTGATGGATCTCTGGCACATTTTCCCACAGCAACCAAAACGAGCTGTGCAATAACATGCAGGCGAATCCCTGCCATGGTACGAAGTGCCCATGCCCTCACCAAAGGGTTCGGATCCCCTAAGTCCTTTTGGAAACAATTTATGGACAGCAACGCCTCGTTTGGCCGCCTGGAACACAGGAAGGTAATCATAATTAAAGAGATACTGATTCTAATTAAAATACCTATGATAAATTTGGAAAGAGCAAAAGTCAAGTCTGTTTTGTTGCGTACTTTTCAGCATAATGCAGCAAGTACAAGTACACCAGCTTCTTAACTTCCAGCGACTGTGATGCCACATTTTTCACAACCTGCGTTCAAACACAACAGCCATGACGCTAACTAGGCAAGTCGCAATCAAACCTAATCAGCTGATCAAATCGATACAGATCGCGCACACACACATCACTACCGAAGCCAATACTTCAATCTAACACAGCTCTTCATCAGATCCAAATTCGCATATCAAAATGAAGTTGTTGAGCAAAATTGACCTGAGGGAAGTAACTGGAGACGTCGAGACCCTGAGCAATGAGGGCGAGTAGGCGCTTGAGGGCCTCGCATTTCTCGGAGTCGAACTTGCTGTCGAGGAGAGGCGCGATGCTTACGTCATCGGGATCGTCGTAAAGATGCGCGTCCGTGCCGATACGGAACACCATAGTGGACGCCTTGCTCAACGACTCGGCCGTCGCCCCGAATTGCGTCAACATTCTCTCTCTCCGTCTCGATTGCCACTGAACTCTGATCAGGAGCTATGTTTCCACGTGTTTTTTTTATTGCAATCGGCACCCTCATTTTTTTTTTTTTTTTTTTTTTTTTNTAATATCATTTTAGTAGTTTTGCTTTAAATTTAGTTAAATTTATCAGGGGTTTAAAATGTTTCGCGACTTCTCGTGCAATTTAGTTTCAATTTAAGGCTATGTTTGATAAACTTAGCTGATAAGCTAGCTTATAGTTTATTAGTAATTTTCGAGCTTGTAGCTTATATCTTATGACTGATAGTTGAAAAGTTAGCTTATATGATAAAAGTGTTTGGTAAAAATAGCTGATAAGCTAGCTGAAATAAGAATTTCAACGAGCTTATTTGAAAAGCTACCAAAAGAAGCTTATCAAATAAGCTCGAACTTTTTAAATAAACTCGTTCTACCAAACGAAGCTTATTTAAATACAGGAAGCTTATAAGCTAATCAAATAAGCTATAAGCTAACCTTTTGGTCTACCAAACATAGTCTAACTCAAGGTTGTGTAACACAACCGAATCAAATAATTGTCGGCTTTAAGCTTGGGCCAGAAGTTTCTTCTCGAAGTATCCGCCTCCGAAGTTGTTTTTAAGGAGTTTCATAGTTTGCTGGTGCTTTATTTCTCATTTTTTTCTTTGGATAAGTTGGTTGCAGAGTGCATTTGTCAGTTGTTTACAATTTTGTATTATTTAGTTTTCTCCTTGGATCAAAAGAAAGAAAATGTCTTTGTAATGCTTATATATATCTGATGATCTTTGTGAAGGAACATTCGGTTTGCACATAATATATTTGGCCCATAAATGAATTTTGGAGACTTTTGTGGAGCATATTTGTGCAGCATTACTTTGTAAGGACCCAACGTTGAGAGCCGAAACCCACCCGGACCCATTGGTGCAACTTGGGCTTGAGATGGACTGGGCCACTCACTGATGGATCACTAGTACTTGGCTGGACTCATCGCTGGTGCTGGGATGGGATGAGATGAGTCTGGGACGAGCTCGGGCACGCTGGGTGGGCACTGTCGCTGTGCTCTCTGCTGCTCCGCCTGGAAAACTGTCGTGTTTCGTTTCAGCTGCACAATCACCATTTTTCGATGAGATTTCGCCAAACGTCGAGAACTAAGAAATGACTCTAAGAGATATCCAACCATATAATTAATTCTTTACCAGGTATTCGATGTGTCGTGAAACGTGCCTTCAGTCGAATAAATGTCGAATGAGATCACAAAGAAGCCTCTACATTTTCACAAGAGTCGTGTGATTTGCCACACAACTCGTGTGGCACCTGGAATGTAATTATGTGATTTTTGATGATTTGGGTCGCACAAGTCATTCGGAACTCGATCCAATGTCACACTACTCATTTGACTTGGCCAGTTTGATGTGTTTTTCTTTTTTCGATGTGTTTTTGATCTATTTTGACGAGAGTTCTCCCCAACTATTTAAAGAGACATTATTGCACCTCTAGGGTTGTTTAAATAGAGTTTCTGGATATTTTTGGAGGCGAGGAACACGCGACGAGTAAGAAAGCAGGATGGAGATCAAATAGCCGAATAGCCTTTTTTTTTTCTTCTCTTTTTGAACTCAATAGCTATCTTTTATTTTTCTAGTTCCATAGCCATGTNAGACGGATGCTATGAATGCATATTTGTAATCGATTTAAGACCAACAAAAGATAATTGATTGCTAGAATTGAGAGATTTATAACGAAAGAAATTGAATAGACCAGGGAGATTGATGGACTCTTACGAGGGAAGTAATATCTTATGACCAGACACAGTTAATTATTCATCTTGAGACCGAGAGAAGATAAATACCAATTAATTAATGATTTAACTTGCTCGATAGAGATGTTGGGTTAATTTAGTTTGATAGTCATAGCTTGGCTGAACCGGATAAAAACTGAGTATAAACAGGTCGATTGATTTATCGTGTAAGACAAATCAACTTACGGAGATCAAGTATAAGAATAGACAACACGTCAGACCAACACATGGCTCACGACCTAATGACTAGAAGCGAGCTACAAAGGATGGTTCTGTTTAGCCCCCCCTTAGTGTATAAATTTGTATATGGAGTAACAATATTATATCTTCTGGAGTATCTGCTATTGCAAGTGTAACATGAACTTATTCCATGCACTATGATGTTGAGATAGAATTGTGCTCACTGTTGTTCAATCATTTTAACATGTCATTTTCTTCTACGCCCCTTGTTATCCTCTACTTTGCTACCTCTACTTTGCTAGTGGTGGAATTACCGCAACAAATTATTCAATTTTCCTAATTGATTTTTATCAGTCATGTACTGAATGTAATTGATTTAAGAAATGTTGGGACCAAAATTGATTAAATTAAAACATAGGATATGAAAACGTAAATTACATTTACTTAATTTTTTTTTTTTTTTTCTTCTTTTTTGCTTCAGAAAATCCCTTGAACAAGCCAACCAAAAGGTTACACCCAGGACTAAGTTTTGACACCTAATTGCATTGATTGACAAATAGAGTTACTTACATGTTAGAAATGAAAGTTAAAAATGGCATCACAAACCACAACACAAATCTACACATTCCCCTATTTTGCTCGTACCTCAAGGGCGGCATAAATGGAAAAGAAAATTACAGACAAAGTGCACCAGAAACAAACTGTAGTAAAGCTATACACATTAATCAGCTCCTTGATGTTTTCTATAAACAATAATCTTATGTAGTCTTCTGAAATGCTCCACTGAAGTAAAGATTGGACCTTCACCAAAGAACTTTGTGCTTTGGTTGAGTAAATACAACAAAAGATATATTTCCTCCTGTGTTCTTCTCATGTAACAACACCCAAAACCTGCAAACACAACAGACTGAGGGCTCAAAAGAGTCATAACGAAAAGAAGAGTATAATCAACAACTTTCACATTTACTCTTTTCTTATTTTCCAACACAAGAAATTACTAATTGAAACATCATGTTTTCCAACACAAAGTCGACATTCAAGTCAATTAACTGATCAGGATGCTCACTCAGATTCAATTCTTATAAAATGACTAACGAGAAACAAAAGGAACCATGGCAAATTAGACAGTAGGTGTGTAATTACCTGACGAGAGCTTAAGTATCAACTCTTCCAAGTAGAGGCTTTTGTAAGTACATCTTTTGAGTGGAGACTCAGTTTCTCTTGTTTCAGCATCCAATAAAATAAGAAAAGCTCTTGAAGCACAAATCACAAACAAAGTACTCGTTCATCCAACGGCAGTTTACAAGGACATCTACCAATTTTAATTACACTAAGAAGAACTATAAATACAGTTGAACTATTCGAACCATTATAGGACAGAAGCATTCTATTTCACAGCTTAACCACAAGTTTTCACGGTAAAGAGACTCAACAGGACAACAGGAGTAGTCAGGCAAAGGCAATCCTTAATCAAACCAGTCAAGCAAGAGAAATGATTCATTTGAAAGCTGGAAGCCGAAAAAAATGTATTTATTCATTCGACAGCTGAAGCAGGCCCCGCATCTGGAGGTACGGATTTTCCAGTAACTTCTCATTGTTGCTCTGTTAAGAAACATTCAGAAAATTGTGGTCACTAGTAATAATATCATGATTAATAAAGAGGAATTCTGAACATTATACTAGGGCATGCTCTATAAAGGATTCACGAGATATGCTATATATATGACGAGATGAGAAATTAAGCATAAAGGGAAAAAAGGAGAAAAGAGGAAAATAATTTTAGAGCATACATCAAATCTTGATAAATAGAACTCGGGCTAAACTACTAAAACTACTAAAATTTTTGGCAAGTTTGATATATCAATTGACCAACTTACAAAGTAAAGACTTGGCAAACTATCTTGGGACTGGCTGTGATTCCACAAAGAACTGTTGTGGAACAGGAAAAACTTTGAGGCTCAAGTGTTTTTAATATTTATCAAGATTAAACACGATAACGACACACCCAGACCCGGAAAGAAAAAAGAACTGTATTGTCCAAGGCCACAACAGATTGAAGTATACATCCATCATGTTTTCAGGGTATGTCTCCATGAAGTTTTTAATTGAAGATATCAATGAGGAAAAGGAAAGGCAAAATACTGATCATTACGGGTTAGTTGAAAAATAAAATTCCTCTTAATATGACAACATAAACACAGTTAGGACTCTGCCTGCATCGTCAAAAAAGACTATAACAAGCAGAAGAAAATTACGATTTCCCAACCAGGGATGTTAGGTGCTTTCCTTGACAGCATACTTATCACAGTATGCTGCAAAACAACATCCTGCAAACAGAAGCCGCNCAAAAAAAAAAAAAAAAGGTACACCAGAATGCACCTGCTGAGCTCTTGCAACAAGACTATGAAGCATGCGCTGGTATTGTTCCGGTTGCTCTGTCATCATTCTCTGCAAAATACAACTCTTGCGTCAAATTTTTATAAATTTCACAGTTCCAACATCAGCAACAGATATCCAGTTCTTGCCTTTAAAAGAAAGGTTGACGAGTAATATGCCACTCTTGCATCTGTATCATCCAACCATTCCCTGCCAAATGTACACATAATATAATATTTAAATACTATAAATATTTGGAAAACCATTGAAAAGCATCACCATTAACAGTGAATTCAAGCTGACAAGGAACCTGAAGAATTCTTCCCCACCAACATCAACGAAAGCAGCTGGATCTGCTGTACATTTGCCAATTAAAAGTAAGAGAAGTGTAGCTCTAATATCCGATGTGCCACCCGAAAGATTCCCTCTTCCTTTGCTACCTACAGAGACTCCCAGTGCAATATTATCTGTTGCAGCACTAGCAAGCTGGATCAAAGGCCAATAAAATAGCGCAGAAGGAACACGAGCAACCAATTGCATGGGCACAATGGCTTGTCCATTAAGAAGCAATGTTCCCATGGATGCAGTACCACAAACTGGAGTATGTACATTTCTTCCAAGTTTGGTGCTAGGATCTCCTATTAAATCACCATGCCCAACATTCTCAATTACAGAAAGATTATCAGCACCATCTGCCTTATCCACCACCTTTTCCGGGTTACTAGAACCTTTATTGTGGACTACATCTCCAAATGACGTCACGTCAGTATGAACAACTTTGAGGCAAAGTTGAGAAAGTAGAATATCACACATCTGTTAATGAATGATCAAGGAAAAGAAAATCATAAGATACTAACTAAAGATAGAATGAAATCAATTTTATAGGGCGCCTAGCAAAAATGCACCCAATGGATAACAACATCTTCTAAGCAGGGAAAAGCATGTGGTATAGCCCATATACTTTTTACTTCATTAAAAGCCTTAATTACAGTAAACAAAATGTAGCTCTTTTTAACACTAAGAGTGCCTACACGTCATAAATGACATTTAAAATAATTACCTTCAAAATATTCATTCGGTCGGTTTCGTTTATTAGAACCATCAAGGATAAGGCACAGCTCATGATATCTATGACCGCATTTGCTTTCTCAAGACGACTCTTGTCATGAATATGTGGAGCCGATTGATTGCGTATCACATGCTGGACTTCATTCTCATCTAGCAAAAATTTGCACTGGATCAGCAGCCTTTCCAGAACAAACAGAAAACCCCATCTGATTTGGTTATTCTTTGACTTCAGAAGCCCACACATAAGCCAAATAGGTAAAGGAACATCTAAAGCAGCCGAATAATCATTAACACCAGCAAGCGAAATTTTCTCCTTCAGATTTTTAATGCTTGACCAGAGATCCGTATCCCCTTCACCACTGATCTCTGCAATCAGCAAGTCACCCAACCACAAGTACCCATTATGACGGTAAGCTCTACGTTCTGAATGAAGAAGAGAATGTAAAGTGGTCCAAGAGAGACTTGCTTTCATAGTAGCAGCATTCCCAACACCTCTGTCGATGCTTTCGATAGATTTGAATAATTTTGTGATCTGAATCATTTGGGTGAACTCGGCATCTACATGAGTGAATGATCCTATGAGTGTGTCAAACTTCTCTACTATCTTCTCCAATAACTGCAGCAGTATAATATAAACGCGTAAGTACATTGCTTTTACTTTATTGTTTTATCTTTTAATAAGCAAAATAATTATTTCCATTTCCTTTTGCTTCTTTTTTTGGTGCTTAAAAAATGAATTATATGTGAAACAGTCATACAAGAAATGAGATACAAAGTAATCTTTCCAATGAAATGATTATGAATGAAATAAGAGATAGAATAGAAGCGAGAGAAATGAAAGGTGAAACAAAATAGAAAAGACCAAACAACACAATAATTTTTTGCAATATATTCATACTGACAAATTCACAAATCATATACATCCCTCGTACATTAACATAGGATAAAGTCGTATCTAATTAGATAAATAAGACTTCAAGATCAAAGTTATAGTCAAATAGACAAATACCTTTGATCCTAGTGACATAATATGTATTATTTTCATTAAATAATACGAACTATTTAAGCATGTATGCACTACAAAAGCGTTGTTTCTAAATTGAATGCGCTTCCACTGCACTAAGTGAATTTCTAATATTTTACACCAAGTGAATTTCTAATATTTTACCAATGTGATACATGAATGATCTTTGCTTACATAATATATTGATTATTCCTTCAGATTATTACCACAGCTACCACTCTTCTAAGATTTACCAATAAAGATCTAAGTATGAAAATACTAAGATTCATCAACCGGTGAACCGTAAATTTGAGTTAGCTACTCTCTTGCCACACAACCGAGAATGAGGCTATAACTTTGTAGATAAAATTGAAGATATTAGAAATATACCTTTAAGAGTCGATCATTATTAGGATATGTGGACAATGCTGCTGAAATTGATCTCCTCAGTAGTTCCAAAATACCTTCAACACTCAATTTGACAGAAATATGCAGTGCTTCAGGTGCATCTGCAAGCATAAGCAAGGTCGCAATAGGTCGTACTTCATCATCACTGTACTCTGAAACTCCAGCAGCTATACATGCCACATTTATTTTATGCAATACATAATCAAAAAGCACCAAATAAAGATTTCTCCTTTCTTCCCTCGAGTCTGAAAGCACCAACTGCATAGTAAAACAGACATACAAATTTTAACAATATATCAGATTTTTATATTGAGCCTACAAAATCATTTGAAGTATGGTTTATAGAGCGAGCAAGAACAGTTCCAAATCTTCTGTTGGTCCATAACGTGGGAAAAGAATGACTTTAAGGATATGGAATCTTTCATTTTAGAGTGCTAGGATGTAATTACAGTCTGATTTGATTACAGACATTGGCTATGGTGTATTTGTCCAGGCTTTCGGTAAATTTTATTGGGTTATCTTATCGCCTACTAATTCTCATTAATTTTTATACAAAATATAAGTATTTCTTAATAACAACCCAAATAAATAAATAAAAAAAAGGATAAACCGTTTCAGTTAGCATTACATTCTTACAGAAACATATCAACGGTTCCCATAAAATACAAAATCTCAAGAAGCCCAGTGGTTCAGACATGTGGTACATGAAATTTTGACCACTTGAAAGTTTGAAGTTCGAGCTGTGGACTATTAACTAATAGTACTTGCAAACACAACTGAAAAGTATGCTTATTGGTAGAACCTGAAATAACTTTATTTAATCAGCATGCTAGTAATATGTTATCCAAAACAGTCCATTTACAGCAATACATTTGGACTTGGATAAATACATTGGCAAATTTTAACAAGCCTATCCTTGGACGATGTTCCATGCAATAGAACACTTAAACACTTTAACGAACACCATGAAACTTAAAAACAACGAAAAAGCTGAAGTTGTCCTACTGCAAACGTCCAGCATAAAACTAAGGTTCTGACTTTGTATGAACATGTGATTTGTGAAGGGTGAGTTCGTTATAGCACGCTAAAAGACCTTTCAAGGAAAGGATGAGAAAATTAAATATCCCCAGCAAGTGGCAGATAGCTGAAACCCTATACCTCATTGCTTCTACATAAATAAGCACATGTCTTCATTCTAGACACAATCTAACTCACAGGAAGAGATTAGTATATATACCTCCCCAAATATGAAGTCAATTCCACCAATCAGATCAACTTGGCTAACAAGAAATGAGGGGGTAGCTGAAACAACTTTATCAAAAGCCTCAGGCAGTTGATAAAACATGTTCGTCATCATGCATATAAGCTTGCAATGAACTATTTCTGCCCAAGAGTTTCTCCTACTAATCTGCATGAGAACCTTAATAACCTGCAGAGAGAGAGAGAGAGAGTTAATTTTTAAGATACTGCAATTGTACAATTAGAAATACAATCCTCTTCAATAGATTATAACTTTCCAAATGAATAATGACTCTGACAGTTATGAAGTTACCGCTATAGATATTATTCTAGTATAATCACTCAGGTTCTCTTTTCACCTAGCATTTAAGTAATCTGAGTTTCAATGCAAAATCAGTGTCATGCTGGAGAGAAAAAATGGAGTACTTCGAAGAGGTGGAAGTGTAAGTGACCTCCTAAATTGAATACAACATACAACATACCCAGTATATTCCCAACAGGTTGGGGTCTGGGGGGTCAGTTGTACGCAGACCTTACCCTTGTAATTATACAAGGAGGCTGTTTCCGTAGCGACCCAAGGTGCATTGCGCCGTTTGATATAATTTTTTTTTTTTCTAGAAACTTCACTAATAGAAGAAGCACTAGAATTTAATTGAGCCATTTTGATCTAGTCCATTATTAGCACTATGCCAGGAGAATTGTCAACAATGACTCTTCCATTCTTGTATATGCGTGTAATCAGTATCTGATCAATTGATGGGCTCTGGGTTATATTTAACCCCACCCCCGCGTAGCCACCAGAAACAGCAGATGCAGTGAACTAATAGTCATTAATGCAGATAGAGCCACATTTTGCTGGTTCTGAACCCAACATCGCACAGTCTTGGGACTTTTCACTCTTATGCTTGAGACAGACCACATGACTCACAAATAGAATATATAGATGACCACACTAGAGTTTCAAAAGGAACCGGGTATTAATAGAGTACTTGTTACAAAAAAAAAATTAATAAAAAACATGAAACGCCTATCACTGAACCAGTTTTGTAAACAAGTATGAAGAAGTTTTAGATAATTCTCAAGCTAAATGCATAGACATGTCATTGTATTCATTTAAGAGTTCTTTTTTTTTTTAAAAAAAAAAAAAAAAAAGGAGGATCAATAGTGTTCCCACTTCCCCTCCTCGATGACTCGAACCCATGACCTATCGGTCATAGGTGAAGTGTCTTACCAACAAGCTCCACTTCATTGTCTAAATTCATTTAAGAGTTGACTAGTAATGTAATAGTACAGTAAATTCTACTATGTGAAGTTTTCAAGGTCAAGTGTTTCATTATTTTCCTCATAAGGCTTACACAAAGTACGTGCATTGCACTCTTTTAAAATTGAGAACCTTGCAGGATCATATAATACAGGCATCAGCAGTTCTTCAATTCTTTTAATTTAGTGTGCTGCTATATATATAGATTCTGAGCAGTCAATAGATGACAATGCCAGGTCAGAAAAATACTCACTCTGATGTCAAGACCTTTTAATCTGCTCCTTCGTATTTTGCCTCTATCGCAGACGAAATACAGTAAACAGCTTAACGAAGAAGCCCAGACGGCCTCCTCTTTCTCTTCAATCTGTGAAAATAGAAATGTAAAAGATCTTGCATCGGAGGGATAAAATATTAAACTGTAAATGGAGTAAACCTAATAACTAGCTACTGAACTAACAATGTTCCATTTTGGCGATAAAGTTGAGTTGTGATTATCCTATACCAGACAAATGAACACATGCCCAAAACAATTGAGTACACTTGCACATAAGAGCAGGTAAAGCTAAAGCAAACTTCACCAAATGTCTGATTTATCAGCCTTTCCAACATGATGAATCAACATGGGAGAAGATCATACAAATAGTAATGAAGACTCGTCAAATCACAAACGTTAAATGAACTGACTGGAGAAAGGGAACCTCGTGACTTCGTTAATTGAACTGACTGGAGAAAGGGAACCTCATGACTTAGTATATAGTTGGTTTTCTCAAGTTCAAGAAGATCTGATGATTGTAATGAGTACCGTCTTAGTAATTTGATCGAAGGCTACATATTATTATTATTATTGCTTTTCTAAAAAATCCGTAGAAGAACTGTGCATAGTAAAATCTATGGCACACGACTCTACTGAGGCAAGGCTGAAGAGAATGGATATCCTTGAACTTGATGATTAGATAAATGAAAATCATTTCCACCAGTTGAAACCATGAATCCCATCACTGCAAGGTGTTGCTAACCTTGCATGAGAATCACAATGCTTTGTATTATTAATGCGTTGCAACATGATGAGGGAGGGGAGAATCCTAACCAAATTTTTTTGGTTAAAGAAAGTTTTTAGGGCCCCGACTTGCTTGGGACTAAAGGCTATGTTGTTGTTGTTGTAAAGAAAGTTTTTAGGGCGTGATTGGCTACAAAAATTAACCGGTTTTGACTGGCCGGACAATTTTTTTACACTCTTTAACTCAAAATCCAACTCAAGTTTAACCTTGCCTAACTCTCCTCGATACTATCAATATAATTAAATAATACCAATCAATCATCCTCACACATCACATCAACTTTATTTCACTATTTATCCACTCACTATTTTTAACTACCTATCATTTCTAGCATCTCTCCTACTTTTACATCACATCAACTTTAATCATTACATTGTAAATGCTCAAAATCTCACTCAAGCAACTTTATTCAAAATTAACTCACTTTAACCAATAAATCAATCAAAACCGGTTTTATTTATATCCAACCGCTAATGACTTAAAGTAACTCCTATGTCTGAATGGAATTTTTTTCATATATTTTCAGTATGTATTTATCTTAATATTTTAAAGATAGAATTACAAAATGTAGATAACCTCACTTCATAAACAGACATAATTGTTCATTAGTGAAGGAAATCATTTTTATACTTCTAAACTTCCAATGAAGTGAATTACTATTACCAATACAACGCTGGTATAGATGTTAATCCAATATATCTAAAATAAACAGGAAGTACATACTGATCCCCCACCAGCAGCAATCAACTAAAAGAAGAAAAAGTACAAACAAAACAGAACATCGGATGCTGAAAACACCAAAAAACATCAACTAACAAAATTTTGGTCATTAATATGTTCTACCTGAACAAGATGAAGAAGCACCTCAAAGAGAATCCCCAGAATCCAACTTTCGAACTTATCAATGGCTGAGGCGTTTACAGTTTTCTTGAGAAAGTCAGCTTTTATATTTCCATCTGAAGATATTTGAGAACCACTGTCAAAGAATGCTTCCGGGGAATAGTGTTCCTCCATCGTAGTGGAACTATCAGGCACTGGTGGCTCTAACAAATGTGCATGCACTCCAAGGTTGATAATTAGATCGAAGGCTCGAGCCTTTGATATTACATTAGGAGAATTTAACATGTCCTGCAATGTTAAAAATAATAATTAGATTTAACCATATTTTTCACATTATACTATGCCAGGAGAAGAAGCACCTCTAGCAAGGATAGAGCGAGAGGAGCAGCAGTCTTGGGATCCAAAACGTACCTGCAAAAAAAGGTAAACTCAACCTATCAGGTTGACCCAACGGAATTCGGGTATAACAAAAATTTGTCATAGCTATACACTCACAAGAATGATTAAACTCATCATATACTCGATAGCTCATCATACTCGTAGCACAAGATTTAGAAAGCAAATAAGAAAAAATCAAAAGTGAGTAACAGACATACATGTCAATTACAAGTTTAACCAGAACGCTCACAGCAACATCCATAGTAGGTTTCCCACTATGTCTTAACTTAGACGAGACAGTCGAGTGATTCGAATTGGCAGATGCCCCAGAGCAAACAGCCGCAATCACCTCACAAACCTCCACTGGATTCAATCGCAAGGGTTGTTGTTCACTGGAAAATCAAAATGTTGAGATAGAGTATAAACCACATGGAAAGAAGGTGACACGAAACCAAATTGATGTGCACAGCCTTCAATGCTTTAATGATTTTAACAGAATGATTTATTGGCACACAAATGCGCATATGCCTAAAGTGAACTCACAACATAGAGAAGAAGACATGATAATACCATCTAATAGATGACTGGGAGAACCTGAAGAAACTTCTATTCTTTACCTGTAGTGGCGATACTGAAAAAGTGGTCTTGTACGTGGTCGAAAGGTGCTCATAGGAGAATCCTCCCTGTTAAAGAAAAATTTAAGTAAATAAATAATAGAGCATCGCTGAGGAAAACACCTAAACACAACAGGTATCTACAGTGAAGTTTCATGTCAGATAGACGAATACAGATTCATGGAACTCTAAAATCTTTGGTTACATTGGTGAGGAAGAAGTAATAAAACAAAGAATAAATTACCAAGATGGAACCATGTACAAAAAGAATAAAGCTCGAGAAGTTAACAATTCTCTAGTCTGTTTCTATGACATTTAATGTTGGAGACAGCAAGATGTCATTGATGAGCATGAATAGAGATAGTTTCCACCAATGTTCTCACTAAGTATTTATAATTTTATAAATACATGATATAATAAATAGAAAAATAAACAAAATTGTGGCCTAAGTTTGTTTCCTAGAACAAGGCATATGAGGCTGGATGGTAAAAGATAGCAAATTGTTTTAAAAGGAAGGTTAACACTCAAAATAATAGAGGAAACACTCATGAAATCCTCAAAGAAAAAAAAAACAAAAATCAAGAAAGAAACAAAAGGACAGGCAAAATTTATGAGACCCCTTACGGAAACAAAACCACTTATTCCTTCAACTAAAATCCACATTACCCAATTCAGCGTAGAACATATACAGAAAATATGTATTATGCCAAAGTAAGAGACGGTTCAGCTACAAGAATATATCAACTCACAACACTCTATCACGAGGATTAATTCTCAAGTACAGAATTCTAATGCCTCAATAAAGCCTCATCCGATGCCATACATTAAACTCGGATTGAAGTAAAAAACTAAAAAAAAAAAAAAAAAAAAAANAAAAAAAAAAAAAAAAAAAAAGCTTCAATTAATTATAAGTTAACACATCCGACTTCATAGATCCTTGTCATCATGTACAACCATGCCTTTGTTTGTGCTGGTTCGGCAAGCGCAAGTTTGAACAATCAGAAATAAGGGTCTTCACGTTATAGAAACAGCATTCAACTAGTGATGACTTTGCCATAAACATTAGACATTAAAAAAAACACCGTGCAGTGTCACAAAGTAAAAAAGGAAAGATGGAAGAGAAGATAGATATGGTGGCAAGATAAAAGACTACAAAAATCACATTTTGTATAAACATAGATTAGGCAAGAACATACCATATCTGATTAGACCCTGACTTCGTGCGCTTTAGCGCTGTTATTGCTCTCAAATGGGCAAAAGCTGAGGTTGAATTGGTAACAGTAGTCAGCAGTGAAGGCTGCAATAATTGATCGAGAAACGGCATCTCTGCGCTTCCAAAACCTCTCAAAGATGTACCCTTTATTTTGGCTTCCATGTCGCCAACAAGAAGAGCTGCAGCTCCAATTTCTAAGAAATTTTGAGATCGCATGTCTTGGAGATTCAGTATGTGATCACTGTAGATGAGTATATTCAGAAATGGTAAACCTAGAAGTGATTCAAGTTACAGTAGATAACATTTTAGGTTGAAATGGAAGAACCTTTTGGGCAAGAGAAGTGACAACTGTTGGTCCCCACACCAGCGCCATCTAAAAACATCGAGTGCCATAAACTCCAGGTCTCCAAGTTCATCAACTTCTTCAGCAATCGGAGTCTCAGAAACAGATGTGATTGATGTTTCCTTGCTCTCCAAAGATTCTTTGCCACTTGCAGGACTTAGTTGGGAATTGAATGATCTGCTCAACAACGATGATAATGTCGGCAATGCTTGTCTTGAAGCAGGAGCAGCTCCGGCTAAGGCAGCCGGTTGGAAGGAACGCCTTGGAACATATTGAGCCACTAAAGAGCGAACATAATTTAAGGATTTCACCAGTGCTCCAGAAGCAAAACTTGACACGGGCAGAGGATTTACATTTGGAGATGGTGATGAAACCCCAGATTGTTCACCTAAGGAACGAGACCATGGTGGCAATTTCCGGTAAGGGCTTACATCACACTCAGCAATTATACTAATACAGAATCGATCAATCTGCAGTAATGTGTTCTCGCTTGGTTTGTACCTGCAATATACAAAAAAGGCCAACGTATATTCATGAGCCACCTTCTTAAAGCCCAACCTAAACAGATCTAAGGATATAAATTCCCATTTATCTACCTCCTGTAGGAAAAAAGAAAATGGAAACGGCAGAACAGGATATATTTTATGAAAATTTTCATGAAAAAGGAACAAGTTTCAAAGTGAAAATGTTTCCAATTGCACCATAGAGAGAAACACCAGTCCCTCACAACTCAGTCCCAATTACCTGAACCTACAATCACCGACATTATCATCATCTTGTCCCTATTATGTACCCCATCCACAATTGTAAGTAAGAAAGCATACACAACATTACAGCATTGAGCATTATCATTACGCCTCAATTAATAGAAAAAGGACCATGCACCTAGTTTTTGTTGCATTTAGCAAAATTAAGTATACTATTATCATATAAGGTCTTTTTGTCAAGAATCTTTATTTTAATTTAAGCGTATCTAAGTAGAAATAAAGAAAATCCAGAAATGCCAAATTGAACGTGCACTGAAGCAACACAAAAATCTCTTCAAATAGTTGTAAACAAAAATCCTCCCTTTTGAGAAATATATGCAAAATAAGAATCAAAAGATAGCTCAGAAAGGAAATTAGCAACCATATATTAAATATCACTTTAATCAACTATATGAAGTCGAAAAGTACAAAAAAGTTGTGATGCAGCAAACGGAAGCATTTACTCCCTTATCTTTAGTCCCTTACACCATGTGTGTTTGCTCTCAAATTCTGAAGAATAAAATTATGGCATTTAGGTAAAAGGCGTCTGCTTTTTCAAAGATCACCAGCAATTTCGCAGGTTCACTTCTCCAGTCCTAAATTCAGTTGAGGTGCCGCGTTTAAAGAGCAATACGATTCTTTTCCTCTCCTTCCCTTAATGTATGTCAAAAACTTTATGGATTACAGGAAAAGTATTAACTGATCCAATTACAAAATTATTATCAACCAAATTATAAGCCTGTATAAAATGCCCCACATAAATTGTGATTCACTTCCCTGGGATTATTTAAGTTGCCTGTGTATGCATGCATGGAATATCTTGCAAATCAATAATAGTTCAGCTAAGTAGCAAGCTAAATTGTCCATTGCAAATGGAGCTGGAAGAGTCATTGTTGACAATTCTCCTGGCATAGTGCTAATAATGGACTAGATCAAAATGGCTCAATTAAATTCTAGTGCTTCTTCTATAAGTGAAGTTTCTAGAAAAAAAAATATATATATATCAAACGGCGCAATGCACCTTGGGTCGCTACGGAAACAGCCTCCTTGTATAATTACAAGGGTAAGGTCTGCGTACAACTGACCCCCCAGACCACAACTTGTTGGGAATATACTGGGTATGTTGTTGTAAGTCGCGAGCTAAAAAGTGAAATAACGATTTCATACTATTAACCGTCAAGTGTCATATATTTGAAGATGACCATTCTCACCTTTCGATTCGTCCCAACTGTTTCCATAACTGATAATATATATTAGCGAGTTAGTCATTTTGTAATAGATCGTTCTTTTTATTGAGTATGAACCGATATCCTAGAGTCACTCAATATTATGAAGTCTAAAAAAGAGAACAAATAAATAGAAGAATCCTAGAACAAAATAAGAGGTAGCTAACCAACTTCTAGGAGAGACATAATTGACTGCATTAATCTCAGTAGCTATGCCAATAATAATAATAACCTGAGTGGGAAATGATCACCTTAAAAGATATCTTTTCAGTAGCGCCACACACCTTCCAACCACAGCAGGACTGTTTATACAAACAACCAAACAACATCAGACATAAGTGCGCATAAATTAACACAAAGAAACATATAAGAGGTAGCATCCAAAGCAAGAGACGGTCAGATAAATATAATCTCTTGGGTATAATATAATTGCCACGATACATAGTAGACGTAAGCAACATTCAAAGGTTAAGAGAACACAGCATGCGTATATTTCACATCCATATAAAGGAACATATTATTAGCACTTATAATTAGCACCGAAATAGCACAAATATTAGCATACCTGCGTTCCCTCTCTGCAAGTGTGTGCTCTAGAATCATGCCATATGCCAAGTCAATCGTAGCATGTGCTGCCAGGTAATCCTGCCATTGATACATGTTTATATCATATAACAGGCCCACATTCTCTCTCAAAACTATGGAAAACATTCATCAGAGATTAAAAAGCTGAATGTCATAAGACACATGTTTTACTCTTGGCTTATATCAGACAACTTTCTACTCTACTGTATTAAGCATACAGCAAAGAAATTCTACGCATGAACTACAAAATTCAGATTCCAAAACGAGAACTTGATTAAGTAGAATAACACACCAGATTGGTCTTGCTTATTATGAATGCCACAAGTTGCTAAACCTGAACAATACACTTTCTGGAGGGAAGTTAAATTTTTAAGCATGGTACTAGCACCAGTATACTTGAGTAATAAACCACTATAGCACCATTTTCCCAAAGACGTGCGACATAAACTTGTCTACATTTATGCATCTCCCAGAACTCCTCCAGTGGCATTAATAACGACAACCCACATGTAACAAACAGCTGCTCTGCAGCACTACAAAGTACATGAACCACTCTAAAAACCGAATCTTTCGGCCAATTAAAGCAGGGCATAGGACAACTGACGATGGCCTCACAGAAAATCACGGAATGCTAAAGGTTAAATACACCCAATTCAAGTGAAAGGAAATTTAGACACAGCTAACAACAGAATAAATGACGAGAGTAAAAAGAAAAGATGGAAATCTGAAATCCGAAAGGAAAAAGAAGTGCTCAAACCCGCAACGTTCTGGAAGCCTCGACGTGCGAAGGCGCTGCGGCAGACAAACAATCGGCTACAGCTCGGCGCAGCGGCTCAGGCGGCTTCTTCATAGAGGAAGATCTTAGCCGGGAGGAGGCGGCGGCGCCCAACTGCATCCTCGAGATCCCGGGGCTTCTCGATGGACTGTAACCGACCGACATCATGTGCGTGCCCAATGCGTGCGTGGCTGTTTTGTCTATTCTAATTTGGGTCTCGCTAGAACAGCTAGGCAAGCAACGGGATTTGGACTCCAAAGCAAGTCAGAGAGAGGCGCTTGTCAGCGCACGGTAGGGCGACGGGAGTTACCATTGGCGCGTGAGAAAATTACAGCTAGCAACAGAAGAAGATGAAATCGAGACCATCGACGTAGAAATTTTCGATAGATAGTTGATGCAATCGTAATTTTGTGAGCGTATTTGTATGACTCATATCTAATGACTAGTGCTATGTTTGGTAAGCCAAATAAGTTAGTTTATAACTTATCTATATCTATATCTATATCTATATAAAGAGGTTGTTGGAAAAATACATTAATAGAAAGTTTGACCAAATAAATATAATGTTTGACTTAAAATTTCAAAAAAACACATGTGAATCTTTAGTAATAAAATCTAAATCCTATTTTTTTGGTAACAAATTTGGAGATTCTTATAACAAAATTTGAATCCCATATATTTCGTATCATATTATATTTTATTTCCAAAATTTAAATCATATCTTTTTTTAGTAACAAATTTGGAGATTCTTATGCAAGAAAATATGTCAATTATTTATGAAAACAATTCTAAATACAAATTAATTTAAAAACCGTGCAAATTGGATACAAATTTAGGAAACAAATAGTTGTATAATTCTTAACCAATTCTAACAATCTTATTGAATAATTTTTTCTTTCAAAAAAATTGTGTAAATTGGATAAAGCCACGTGCAATTTTTAGTTTAAAATAAAACTGATATTTGGATGGGATGTACATTCAAAATTGTGTCCACATTTTTTTGTAACAAAAGCGATTCATTATTGATATTTAAAGTCACCTTATCCAATTATTTAGGAAAAAATATGTGCAACTTTTCAAAATTTAAATGCATCGATTTTTTTGGATTCTTATGTTTTTTCTTAACCATGTTTTACCGAGATTTCGGTAAGTTCACATCATTTTTTTTGGTTAAGTTCATATCATTTTCTTGAGGAAAGAGACAGTTGCATAAACATTAACAATTTATTTCAATTTTTTGTTAGAATTATTTATATTTCAATTTGTTTGGTACAAAAATTGGTGCAATGTTAGGAAAATTTGGTTGCATTTTTAGGAAAAATTGATGACTTTTTTTTATTTGGTTTAAAAAAAAAATCGGATCAATTTGTTTGATAGAAAAATCGGTTTATTGGTAGAAAAATCGATCATTTCTGGGACTAACTAATGATTCTTTTCAATTTTTCTTAATTGAAATTTAGAATTAGATTTAAAATAAATAATGGGTGAAAATCCCTAAAAAAATTTACTTTTTTTCTACTTTAATTTTGTTCAATAAATAAGATCCTTTAATTTTTTAAAAATTTGTTAACTAATAACTAATAATATGCAATTTTGGATAAATTTGAACACCTATGTAGTACTTTACGTGCCAAAGAATCAAATCAATAATGTTGTACATAAGGAAGTGTTTAATAACATATAAATTTCATTTTCATGAAATTTTTAATGGCATGAGACAATTTAAATACAAAAATATCTTTTAAAAAATATATATAATAATAAATGCTCCCGTGCATCGCACCGTGCATCGCACGGGCACCGTACTAGTTTGGATAATTTATAAGCTTCTTATATTCAAATAAGTCTTGTTTGGTTGGACTGAGTTTTTTTTTAAAAAAAAACTCGAGCTTATCTTATAAGCTACGTACCTTTTTAAATACGCTGGTTGAATTTTTTATTTCAATTAATTTTACCAAACACTTTTATCATATAAGCTAACTTTTCAGTTATAAGTCATAAGTTATAAGCTATAAGCTCAAAAATTACATATAAGCTATAAGCTAGCTTATCAACTAGTAAACTACCTTATAACTTATTTGATTAGCTTATAAGATTCTTGTATTTAGATTTTATGCTATGTTTGGTAGACTAATAAGCTACCTTATAACTTATTTGATTAGCTTATAAGCTTCTTGTATTTAGATAAGCTTCATTTGGTAAGACGAGCTTATCTTATAAGTTTGTTTGAGTAGCTTTTCAAATTATCTCGTTGAAATTTTTATTTCAACTAGCTTATCAGCTAATTTTACCAAACACTTTTATCATATAATCTAGTTTTTCAGCTATAAGCTACAAGCTCGAAAATTATTGATAAACTATAAGCTAACCTATCAGCCATCAACTAGTTTATCAGTCAGTTTTACCGAATGTAGCCTAAAAAAATACCAAAATTATACTTTCAATTAAGGATATTTATGACATTTTTAATATATGTGCTACTGAACCCTCTCATACCCACCAGCACGTGGGTCCCACACCCATTATTCATCCAAATTCAAGTCACACCTCCCCACTGCCCCCATCCAGTCTCACCCACCCACGTCACCCCTCTCTCTCTCTCACACACACAGACACACACAACACACACAACTCCGGTACACACACACGACGATTCACACACACACACAGCGGCTCCACACAATAATCCCCCACACACACACACAGAATCACGCACAGGTCTCCGCCGACGCTCGCCGATTGCTGTTCGCCGCCGATGCTCGCGACCGCAGATTGCCAACGACCGGGAACTCCATCGACGTCGCACCTCACAGCCATCCGAACGCCGCCGCCTTATATTTAACCTAATCCGCCAGTCTTTGCCGCATATCCGGTCCCTCTGTGAGACACGACGGTGCCGCCATCACCGTCGGGTTCATTGGCCGTGAAAATTTGGGGACGAGATCGACAGTAATCACACTAAACGAACATAAATTCGAAAATAAAAGTGATAATAAATAGACTTGCGTGGTGGTGGTGGTGTATCTGGGCTGGTGGCTGTCGGCCGGCATGGTGCTCGGAGGTTGACGGGCAAGGAGGTCAGATTTGAATGTTGGGGCAAGACTTTGGAAATTTGATAATTATAAATGACCTATGTGCAATTTTGTAAATTTTGATTATTTTCAATTTAACCTTGGGGCCAAATCTATAATTTATAAAATCTATATAAAAAACATTATTTTTAAACATATTTTTTACATATATATATTATTATTTTAACAAAAAAATAATATTAAAATATTAAATATATTTATGTAATAATAAATAATAAATATTTTAATTATTTAGGTTTGGATTGCACATACAAAAAAAAAATGATGAAAGAAAAATATATCTTGATATTTATTTATTTTTGCCAAAACGATAGATTGTATTCAACTAAAATAATGTACAAGCTGTGAGACCAAAAGGTCCCAAATGTTCAAGGGAGAACCACCTAATACAGTGGTCTAAAATGGATACACAAATATAATATATCTAAGCAAGCAAACTTGAAGCCTTAGACATATTCAGAATCATTAAATAATACACAAATAATACAACCTCTGCAGCAAAGAAAAGGTTAAAATGAGGCCACTGAACTCTCAAGAGACCTAGCCTTTCAGACTGCATTCTTCACTCTTTTCTTTGTGAATTGGCTTGAGCAAATTCCATCCAATCTTTCCATGCAGCTCTCCCAACTTCAGTTTCAGGCATCAATGTGCTTTGAAATACAAAGAGATTCCTAGATTTCCAGAGCCACCATAGGATGTAGGTGGACAACTGGAGTCTTTCTTCTGAAATTAGTTTCTTGTCCACAGAACAAGCTGTCCACCACCAGCTCCTGAAATTTGATTTTTTATCTTCTAAGCCATCCCAATTGATCATTGATAGTTTCCAAACCTTCTGGGCTCTGGTACAATTTAGTAGAACATGCTCTATAGTTTCAGTTCCTTCTCCATACAGCTGACACACTATATCTACATTTAGGCCTCTTCTTCTCAATTCATAATTCACTGGCAGCACTCCTGTATAGCATTTCCACAGAGAATGCTTTAACTTGCCTTTGATTTTCAACTTCCAGCTTCTTATCCTGGCCTTGTGGTTCAAGATTGCATTAGTGCTGCTTTCTGCAATGTCAAGCTCCTTTAGTTTATTTTGTATTAAATGGGAGTATGTTGAAGCTACAGAGAATGCACCTTTTTTGTCATATGACCAGGTCCACTTGTCCACTTGTCATATCTTGATATAGAATGAGAAAACCAAATAGTAAAAATGGATATAATAAAGTTTGATGTATTAAGTACAACTACAGGCTTATACTTTTATTATAAAATGATGATAATAAGGGAAGAAAAGTTAACAAGATTAATAAAAATACAAAAATAAATAACCATTGCTTAATTAAGAAATAAATAAAAATTACAATATTACAAAAAGTAAATTAAAAAATCTTTTCCATGTGGCAGCCTGTAATTGGCAAGAAGCAAAAAATGGGCGTTATCCCTAAGAGCACCCACAATGCTTTGTGTCAATTCAAAAAAATATACATGCCATGTAAGAAATAGACTCAGTCTAGAAAAATATACTCTCCAATGCAAGTGCAAATAGACTGGGTCATGCTGATGTGACAGTAAAAAAAAGAGACTCAGTTTACTCTTAAGTTTATTTTAGGCTCAAGTAGAGATCTAGTCTCTTGGAGTCAATTTTGTTACTTTTAAATATTTTTGTCCATGTCATCCAATAATTAAATCTATTTAATTATCACATAAGCAGAACTAGACCTAAATTATTGCAGATGCTCTGGCCGGCATTGAACCAGTCCTTCCGATAATCGTTATATATAAATGGATAAAGGGCTAGTCCTCAAGGCAAATATTTAATATGGTTTTCACGTGGGGGGTTTTCGCCATGTTTTTCATTGTTCTACCTCTAAAAATAATCACTACATTTTCCAAATGTACGTTAATTTCCTATCTTTTATTTTGTTTCAAAATGTTCATTCAAATAATTAAAACTAGTTTTTTAGGTAATTACGTTCTCTGCTTAAAAAAAATATTGATTGATAAAGCTGTCTTTTATATGAGATTTGAATTAATCTACTTCGATTTTATATATCTGATTGGACTAGTGAACTGACAAAAAAATCTTGATTGATAAAGTTGTCATTTAACCTGAGATGTGAATTAAATCTACTTCGATTTTATGTATCTAATCAAACTAGTGAACTATTGAAGTAACAGCTTGACCGATTCGATTACAAGTCCCATTTTCAAAATTGGTAATTGCACACTAGGACAATTTTATCGCACCCCTTCCAATGGATTATTTTGTCCTGCAGGTGAGGGACAATGGCTGATTCCATCTCCACCATTGTCATGGTAAGCAAACAATGAATTATGCAGCGCTAAAACATCATATCCTCCTAAACAAACGAGCCCAAATAACACGGACGAAATAAGACGAACCACAAAACCTCTCTAAATGAAAGAAAATCAAATCCATATTTCAGTGTTCCAAAAATTAAAAGCAACATATCATCGTTTCTTAACATTCTAGCACAATTTCGTTTTCTAGGCTCCAAACATTATTCTAAAAACACCAAAGATTACCCCCCAACATTAGCAAAGCTAACATGGGGAATAAAACTATATATCCTCCGCATAATCTTAATCACTGGAGGTACAAATGAGCAAGAATTTCCAGTAGTAGAGCACTTATAATCCAAAATATTGCAGTACTGTCAGTTCTATTTTACAGACTATATATACCTCCTACATCACACAACGAAACTGAAAAGAGAAGGAACTCGAAAAGGGCAAGATTCCCTATATCTTGTGAACACTGTATCCCACATCTTCGGTTTTTAAGTCCTTCCAGCTCTCGAATTCAGATCCTCCAAACATCACTTGCTTAATTCCAACATAACTGTAAAACAAGTTAGAGAGTATCATGATATAGAGCAGATCAGGTAAGAGATTATTCGTGTTGAAGCTGTCCAAATTCTCTGTCGTGTTGAAACTGAATTTAAACTCACATGCTGATAAATGTCGTGTTGAAGCTGTCCAAATTCTCTGTAATTGTCAAAGGAAAAATATTCAGAATGTGACCAAGGTAACTTCACCGGACCTCAACATATCATTTCCCATATTTCTTTCTTAATTTCTCTTTAACAAAATCACTTCGAGCTTTTATCCGAGCTTGCTGAGGGGCGGCGTTCACGTATGAAAGATGCAAACCATACCCAAACAACGAGCAACCAAACACAAAGACTGCCGCTGTTAATGCCATCTTTTTAGGTGTAGCCTCAAAGCATACTACCATCTTTAACTGATTTTTTTGTTCACCTAAACAAATTGAATTCACTGTGAAAAGGCAAAATGGATTGAAAGGAATCACTAACTCATTTTGTGCCAAGTAAAAGAAAATATAAGACTTACTTTAATGTCAGAATCAATTAGCTTTCTTGGTATTTTCTTTTTATATTCTTTTTATAATAAAATTACAATTTATAGAATATTACAACCTCTCGATGAAGCTAAAAACAAGTAAATCTAATAGAGAACTTATCACGCTTACAAAAGATAACGACTTAACAAAGATAATATTCCAACATTCTTTTTNTCCTTTAATGTAAAGTCCAAGTGAAAATGGTCCAAATTATTGAAATTGAACTTATTTTTGGGATGACTCGTTAAATGGTGAACATTCATTAAATGGCATTCACCCATACAGAAGTGACACGGGTGGTATGTGCCACTTGGCACATGCTGATTGGCGGGTCTTTGTGGCCATCACAAATCAATTTCATGAAACTTTGGCGACAAGGAAACTTTGAAGGTGTGAGTTCGAGTTATCGTTTATCATTTTGAAATAAACCAACTCTTTTATGTGAATTTTTTAGTCATTGAATGGCTTTTTTTTCCTTGCAAAATGATTAGTACTAAGATCACTATTATTGTATTATCAATATTATTATTAAATTGAGAGATTAAAAGGACATATCAAATGGCTCGTACGTTAATTAACAGTATACTGTTTGTCAATGGCTAAATAATATTAATAAGTAAAATATTTAATATTTTAATAACGAACATTTTAATAACTAGGCATGTGGATAGTTATTCATGCTATCGTTTTTTGTTGTGCTACATACGAAGTGTACTACAAAAAAGTTATTATATTTTGAACAAAAAATTATATGGTAATATATTCTAATGAAAATTCCAATGAATATTTCAACAGTATAGTTTCCGTTGGAATGATTCCAACAGAAATATTCCGTTGGAATGTGTTTTTTATTGAAATTTTAGATGGAATTTGATGATTCCAACAGTTATATTTCCAACAGCTTTCTACCGTATGAATTTCCGTTGGAAATTTATTTCCACCCCGTTGGAAAATTTACCGTTGGAATCGTTAAAATCCAACGAAAATTCCAATGGAAAATTCATTCCAACGGAATATTTTTGTTGGAATTTCCGTTGGAATAATTTATTGGAATACATTTCCGTTGGAATTTCATCTTTTTTTTGTAGTGGTGGTGGGTCTGGATATCAGTACAAACATTTCATTAAATACGAGTATTTTATAATGCTAATGTGTTCGTTTAATTAAATATGAGTATACTACATTTATATACGTAGTAGTAATCAACCTGTGCATTTGCACAGAGACGAATACTTTAAAAAGATAAAAATATAAAAAGAACAAAATAAATCATAATTTATTTCATGAAAAAAATATGAGTTAAGAAAATAATTCTTAAAATTGATTTTGATCAAGTAATTGCTATGGAAGAGCCGTTACAACCATTTTCTTTATACTAATATACCCGGCCATTTTCATGAGTGGGTGTAACTTAAAATTTAAGTACAATTTTGTAACTCCCTTGATTGATTTATGCTTATAATTTATGGCATTCAAACAAGTTATTTTGTAACTTAAAAATGAAATTGAATGCTAGAAAATTTGGAGGGAAAATAAAATTTAATGCATGAGAATAAAATTTAATGCATGGTAATAAAATTAAATGCTTTGTTACTCCTCTTTATATATATATATATAGATTATGTGTTTGTTTTATTAAATATGAGTATATACATATAATGTACATATCAAGATTATTTCCCATTTATTCATGTACCCACCATGTATAGTAGATTAACTTACTGCCGCTGAAAAGCAAGACTGATCAACGATATTAATAAGTGAATTGCTAAATACCGTGCATCTTTTACTATCAATTGGCCCCCCTTGAACCGTTTTGCCAATGACATTGTTTTGGTCTTAAAAAAATATAAAAATATATGTATGATAGCCGGCCGACCGCCTCCGAGCACGACCGCAATCACCGGCCGGCCAACGGCGCTCAGACTGATATTGCCGGTCGGCCATTTTTTTTAATCAAATTTTTATTTAGATTATGTTAGAATTTAAAAATTATTATGTAATAAATTATCGAATTTATTATTATTATGTTAAAATTTAGAAATTATTACATTATAAATTAGAATTTATTATCTTACATAACATATTATTATTATTATTATTATTATTGTGTTAGACCTTAGAAATTATTATGTTATTATATTTTTTTTAATTTATATCAAATAACTACTTTGTGGTTAAGTTAGTTTAAATAATTTTATTTTTCAAATTAATATTAACATGTAATTTAATTTTAATTATAAAGATAAATATAATTATTTATTTAATTTGTATGTATAATATATATGTCAAATCGAAACTCATCAAGACATGATTAATTAGATATATTTTATATTTAAAAGTTAATAAATTTTTAATTTATTAAATTTTAAATATATATATAATTTAAGTCAATAAATTTTTTATAATGTTAAAAAAATATGAGGAAAAAAAAAGAGATTGAGAATTTATATCTTATAAGCCACATCTAGAATAGGAAATCTATACATATATAATAAGAATTACCATTTAACAAAAATAGTAGCAAAAAAATAGGAGAGAATTTAATGCAACCTATAAATAGTAAGTTTTATTATTTTTTTATTTTTATCTTTGAAAATTCATACAACATTTAATGTTGCATTAAATTTTTGGCTTTAATTCATTTTATTATTTAAAAATTCTAGCTAAGATCTATTAAGTGTGCATTTTTCATTTTTATTTTATTTTCTCATATAAACAACGAAGAACATTAATATCTCAGTCTCTATATTTATAAAATCTCAATTGAAAGGTAATAAAAATTTTAGAATATCGGTCTTTATATTTATGCCTTTCAAAAAAAATATTGAATGCTATTCGTTAAATATCATTTTCCACTAATCATCACAATTTTTTTATTTGGAACGTGTGATAATAAACTTGGTAATGTTTATCACTTATTTGTTTACCAATCTATTGTTTTTTCTATACTCAGTTTCAAAAGGTAAAATAATTATCAAATTATCAGTCTCAATAATTGTGCTTTTAAAAAAAATATATTTAATGATAATATATCATTTGTTAATATTACACAATTTTGAAAACTCCATTATAAATTGTATGTTGATATCTAAATCATTTTATAAATGCAATCGACTTTGTTAAATCTCCATGAAAATATGGTAAAACAAAATGAGACGATCAACTTTGTATAGAAATAAAATAAAATCAATAAATCAATATGAAGTTCACAGGAAATTAACATAATGAATAATTTGTATAGTACACGGATCTAAAAAATAATACTCACGTGGATTCTAAAATTCAAACTTATACTTATCATCATGTTCTGGAAATTGAATAACATAATTTTAGACATGTATTATTTATAAAATAGTTTAGAAAGATTTTAGGTTACTTCACATCTTCAATAATGATATATAAAATTTTAGATACTTTACATACGCTATATAATATTTTAGGTGTTTTTAATATTTTAACATACATTTTTTATATTATTTTATACAAGATAAATTTATATTGTTTACAACTGATATACGATAAATTATATCACATATTAACTCCACATCTTAATTACAATTATTAGTTAATATTGTTTACCCTCATATTTAATTTATAATTATTAATTAATATTATTTACTGTCATCGTTAATTCATAATTATTATTTAATATTATTTACCCTTGTATCGCACGGGCTACACACTAGTAATAATAAACATGATTAATTCTTTCAAGAAAAATGCTACAAGTACATAATAAATGTACATAGAGGTGTACATAACACTCACATGGAGTGGGGTCCACTTGATTTTTTATTTTTTGATAGGACCCACTTAAGTGAGTGTTATGTACACCTCTATGTACAATATTATGTACCTATAACACTTCTCTTCTTTCAATAAGGACCATAAATATCCAATATATTTATGGATATTACAAGCTTAGTTACATTTAGATCGGAAATAAAATAAAATTCATCCAAGCCAAACAAAGCTTAGAAATGTGCCACACAGGATCTTGAATCGTGCAAACTTGTCGCTTAGGCTCAACACATCTATTACTATATAATACAGTTAAGAAAAACTATTCAAACAAGTCCAAAAAAGAAAAATAATTCATTTTCCCGCTTTTTTAAAGTCATTTTCCCGCTTTGTATTTCGTTTTTTACCATTTTCGAAAGTTTTTTTTTACTTTTTCCCGCACATGCAATTTGTTTGAAATAATTCACCCATGCAATTTGCTTGAAATCCGCCCATGCAATTTGTTTAAATTAGATACCGGATATTGTTAACTAAGATGATAAGATTTTGGTAAAAAAATCGGATATTGTTAATTGATACGTAATATGGTAAACAATCAGATAATATTTTGGTAAAAAATCGGATATTGTTAATTGTTAAAATGATATTGTTATTTGTTAATTGTTAAACAAATTTTAAGTGATATCCTCTGATTTTTAGGGGCGCGACAGAATTTGTCGAATTTGAAATATTATCTGCCAAATGATTTTAAAAATTTTATTACTTTATATCATTTACATGTCTATGATGTGATCCTAATGGGCAATTGATATTAAAAGTTGGAGAATAATAAAAAATATCCATACGATTTTAATTATTAATAATTGAAAATTAAATGAAATAAAATTATTTACACGCAACCATAATATATACAATCACGACATACATCCAACCATCTGTCAAAAGGTGATTTTTTTTTTCCAATTCACATATTATTGAGATAAATTGCAACTAATGAAAAACATAATTAAAAAAAAAAAAAGATATCCAATGGCTTCCTTTGTTCCATCTTCAGATCACGTTTTGTTTATTCAACTTCAACTAAAAATTTATTCAGTTTTTTTAATCTTTTTTAATTTTCGTATTTATCTGAAAATCTTTTTCATTTTTACAATTTGTTTTTTTTTATTTATGCGATCAATTTTCAATAATTCATAATTAGATAAGATTTACAAATTCGATTTGGTTTACAAATCATGTATGTACAAAAATAATAATTAAGATTCTGTGAAAAAAATAAAGCGGATTATGCAAAACTTAATCCAAAACACTAAAATTTGTTAGATAACTACAAAATTCAAAAACTAAAGCGGATTAAGCAAAACTTAAAATAATAATATGATAAGCCTAATTATTTTGGCTTAGAATGAAATCAAACAATTATCTAACTATATAAAATAATATTTTATTTCTTAAAATTTATTTAAAATTTCAACTATTATTTTCTTTAAGTTTATTGTAGATCCCATCTATTATTTGCTTACTATATATATTTTTAAAATCTAAAATAGGTTGGATCGGATTTCGGTGATAAGCACTTTTGTTGTGGGAAATCAAACAAAAGGTATACTATTTTAGGTATAAAATCTGATTTCATTTGATAAAGCCAATCAAATTTGGTTATGACCGAATCAAACAATTTTGAATAATATTAAATTACTCGATTACTATTAAATTAATTTTATTTGATTTTCAACTCTAAAACTTTCAAAAATACTATCATTTTTTTATTTTTTGTGGAAAATGGCGGCTAGATGAAAAAGTCAAATTCAAATTAAAAAAAATTGTTATTTGGAAAAAGATATTTTGTAAATATGGTCAATGATATCATAAATTATTTTTTATATTCGGATAGTTCAACTTAATTGATGATTTTTTTTTTTTATAAAAAGTATGACGATCATATAATTAATTTTATCATATATCATATGTTGGATGTTATTAGTTTTGTTGGAGACACTCATTATATTCAAATAAATAATATATAATTTTTCATATTTGGTATTTCTTTTCTTACAATAATGAGATGTTAAACATAAATAACTATGTTTAATATAAAGTCTTAGAAAAGATTTTAAGTAAAAATCCCGTCCGTGCATCGCACGGGATACACGCTAGTTCGAGAATTATCTATAGAGGGCATATCAAATTGAATATCCACAAGACATGATTAATTTGATGTATTATACATAAAAAAATGATAATAAATATTAGCTTTTAAATATATTTATAATTTATATTATTAATTTTTTTATAATTATAATAAAAAAAATGAAGAAAAATAAAGATTGGAGAAAAAAATTATACCTTATAAACCATGTCTAGAATAGAAAATAATATTAATAGTCATTAAAAAAAATTATATATATATATATATATATATATATATATATATATATTTTATCCTCTGCATAATCTTAATCACTGGAGGTATAAATGAGCAAGAATTTCCAGTAGTAGAGCTCTTGTAATCCAAAATATTGCAGTACTGTCAGTTCTACTTCTACAGACTATATATACCTCTTACATCACACAACGAAACTGAAAAGAGAAGGAACTCGATATGGGCAAGATTCCCTATATCTTGTGAACACTGTATCCCACATCTTCGGTTTTTAAGTCCTCCTTCCAGCTCTCGAATTCAGATCCTCCAAACATCACTTGCTTAATTCCAACATAACTGTAAAACAAGTTAGAGAGTATCATGATATAGAGCAGATCAGGTAAGAGATTATTCGTAAGAAGTAATAACACACATTTACAACAAATGCCGAGCAAAGGCCTTAAAGGTTACCTGCAGCCAAAAGTTAGTAGAGATAAGATATTAAAAGAGAGGTAAAAGTACTTACTCGGAGCTCAATTGTGTCAATGCATTGATTAATATATCCAAGAGTAAAGGTTCGCTTGTGCCGATATCCATCCTGTCATATACAAAGAAAAATATTTTCAAATAAGATTATCTCCATAGACAATCCAATCCTATATAAACCTTAGATGTTTAACCATCGCACCATATTCGAGCTAAATTATCTTGAACCTCAAGATCTCCAATGTTGTAAAATGTGGTTGGTGTAGCATTTGCTCCTTGAATATCATCATAGCTTGGTCTTTTGTCCAGAGGGGATTGCGACAGCTGTCACCAACAGATGAAAGCATACTTTCAACAGTTAAACAATACAATCTTGTAAAAAAAAATATATATATAATCTTCTTTTACAGCTAAAGCTCCTCAAAAGATAAATGCATGCATAAGGCTGGCTTACTTGCATATTCATGGAATTGCATCCACCAAGTCGTCCAACAATATACCAAGCCCGAATTGCCTGAATGAGAATTTTATTTAGTGACTTGCTACCAGTTTTGCAATTAAGTAAAAGGATAACACTAAGAATTTAGCATTTAGGTAAACAGAATTGAAGCTGAAGCTGCTTACATCACAGATCAAAGAAACATCTTTCTCCAGTGGGGCATTATAGAACTCCAACCATACGTATGAATTTGTAAAATCAAATCTGAAAATAGAATCCAAGTAAATGATTGATTCAAGCAATACACCCAAGAAAATATCCAAATTCTTAGGTATTGAAAACAGAAAAAGTTCAACAGAACATGTCCATTCTATGGATGAGAAAGAAGCAATTCAGTGTGATGGCCAATCGAAGTATTTTACAGTAAATTCTTACACCAGCCTTATGCCAATAGCAACTTCTCAGAAAATTCATACATAGGAAATAATATGCCAAAATAAAACATAACATGATACTATCTACTTGCTCAATACTACGAATTTGAGGAATCTCATATTCTACATTGAGGACCAAAATGTGGGAAGCAAGTTGAACAGCAAATATATAACAGAGGCTAGAGGCTACAACGACAACTGACATAGCATAACCTTTTGCCTTCGTATTTTTCAGAGAACGCTTAATATATAACATTAGAATATAGATAGGGAACTGCAAATACTCACATAATTCCACCAAATGTTTTAACATATCAATTGCGAATGAGCAACCTTACTATGGCAGTTCTTGTCCGAAATGGGCTTGTTTTTTAAGGAGCAGCATAAGAGTCAAATGCAATGCATTCTCCCCCCAACCCCCAAGTTAAACTCCCAAAACAGAAGATAAGAAGGCTCACTAATTGTTTATTTCCTACTATTTTACGAGCGGATGTAAAAAGAGACCTCAAGTATACAAGATTATAATCCTGAAAATAAAATGTCAAAGTATGCAAAGGCAACATTGATACAAAAATTTCACAAATGAATTTGTCAACTAAGACCGGTCCATAACTTTTTAGCATAATACCATTCGCTGGTAGCATGAAGGTGAATAAAGTACCAGTAACTATTTTAATATGCTTGAGTACATTAGCTCAAACATGCATGTTCTGAGACCCAACATAAATGAACCATTTCAGTTTGTCATTAACAAAAAATCATCATGAAAAAAAAATAATGAAATTGAGAATCAATATTTACATATGCATATGCGAGAATGCACTAGACAACTTCCTCAATATAGAAAGTGTAAAAGGTAAAAAGATAAAAATATAAAACACTCAAACTTATGATGCATATCAGCTTACTTCTTGCCATCCAACTTATGATGCAGCAACAAACGTAAGCTTACTTGTTAAACTTCACTACCATTGGGTTTGAAGAGCCCGTTTTTGTGTGCAATATCTTGTTCCTCTTCTTTCTTAGCCTCTCCTCCATCTACCAAAAAAAACGACAACCACATGATGTACCTACTCATTTAGAAAGAGAAAGCAAAATACACACGAGAAATACCAAATGAAATGTTCAGTAAACAAAAAACCACATTGAAATTCATACCGTCAAATGTAAAAGCAAGGTTTTTTCTAGTATAAATTATGAACTTACCTTGGACCTAGCTTTATCCGGGTCATCAAGACAAGAGCCAAGAATGTCGGCAAACTCCGGATCTCTGTCATAATCCTTTTCTTCGTCAACTCCACGCCACGAGACATCATTCTCGTCCTCAATTTCTCCTTCACCGTCGTCATCAGCCTCGAAACCGTCCATTGCCATGTGGACACACAGATGCTTGGTCCACCTAGCTCGCCTCATGGGCGACTGTCGTCCTGTAGAATGCCGCACGCAAAGCGGGAGTTTAGCATATACGGGAGTCCGGTTTTTGTTGGCTAGGACTGATAAAGGGGAGGATAGTGGTTCAAAGGTGGGGAAACATGGTCGCAAGGTAAGCATCATGTTTAATTTTCTTGAATGAATGTAAGGAGAAAGCAAATGGTATTAGGTCGCTATTTGGGCAAGTTTGCCGTCGACGATTTACTCACTGGATGGCTAGAGGTTCTGTAAGGCAATATGTATTTGATTGATTGTTTTTGAGTGGATTCTCATTTTCCGGGCACAAGCAGCAGCCAGCGGCCAGGCCAGGATTTAACCCTACAGGTGTTGAAGAAAAAAAGAAAAAATTAAAATAGATGAAATGAAATGCAATTTAGAAAACTTTGGTGGTTTAGATGAGATCTATCTATATATAAAGGTTATTGTAAATTATTTACAGTAACTTTTGACCAAATAAATAATTCATTTGACATACTATATATAGACAATTTAATAAAATCAAAAGAAACCGAAATAAATGCTTCGCAATTTAATCGATCTATACTTTCAATTAGTTTATTATTTCAAAATGTGATTAAGAGTTTGACTTCAAACTAAACACTTGATATACATGCTTTTAAAAAGAAACGTGATTAATGATTTCTGTTACAGTTTTGTGAGTTACCAAAATACATGCTTTTAAATTCGTAAGATACATATTTTAGTTAATTATTTATGGTACAAATTTTTTACGAAAAAATCGCTTCAATCCAGTTCCATTTATAAAAGATTTTGTATTATTTAAAAATTATTTATAAATTAGAGTTTTGTTTGGCTGCTCGAGACTTAGTATGTAAATAAATTAGGCATACCATGTTTATTTGAAGTTTATTTGGATGTTTGTGAATATCTATTATTATATAAAGGGACAATCCAGAATCCTTAAAATAGTAACTAAAAAATAATTAAGAATCCCGCCTAAATATTTACTAAACAATAAACATAGTAGTGTTTTTGAAAATTTTCGAAATATCCCACCTAAATATGTTTTTGAAAATTTTGGAAAAAATTTAAATTTAAACATTTTAAAAAAAATATCACATACATATTTTTTTGGGATACATTTCATTGTATCTTAACTTCCATATAATTTACCACATCATGAAAAAGTATCTACTTATAAGGAACAAATAAAATATTAGGCTTAATATATTTAATATTGTCATAAAATCATATTTATATGATTTTATTTTTAATTATTATGAGATAGGAAAAATTCTAAAAATTGAATAGATATATAGTACAATATTTATTTAAAATTTATTTATATATTTTTAATTTATTACATCAATAAATAATATTAATGTAAATTAAATACTTATCATTATATAAAAAAAATAATACTTTTATAAGTGTTATAACTAATAATAATGAAACTATATGAAATAAAATTTTAGTATAAAATATTATTTAAGTATTATGATGAATAATAATAAGTAAAATTATTATTTATGTATAAAAAACAAATATATGTTTTAAAATATTATTTATATTAATATAAACGGATAAACGGGCTAATACATTATTAAAATAAAATTTTCAAAAAGCTTTTACTCGACCGTGCATCGCACGGGATGCCCACGACATGGTCTTACACTAATGTTTTGTAAAATATATTTATAAAAGATATTTATAAATATATTTTGAAATTTATTATTTTTCTCTATTATTAATTTACACATTGTGTATCAAATTAGTCATATTTTAACTTTTGTATTTTATATATAAAATGATACCAATACTACACTTGTATTGAAAATGTAATTAATAATCATGTTAAGGCGTTTTACATAAAACTAATATACAATATATAAGAACATATTTAAAATCATATAATATATGAATTAAAGGGACATGTATTTATGCATGTACAAGAGTTATCTATGAATTGAAATAATAAATCATTATCAAATATAACGAAAATTAAATTTATTAACAAATTCTAATCATAATTTTTTTAAATTAAACAAATCATACCCTGAGTACTAAAGAAGTGTTAGTTTTTAAGATAAAAATTTTACTTTTATTTTTTATAAATATGTAAAATATTTTAAATTCAACGTCCCATATGTAGCAAATGTGTTCCAAGGCAAGAAAAGCAGATGACAAAAAGTCACGACCAACAAACAATGGAGTACGACCACCAACATAAAGGACAATCCACAATTCCATTTCGTATCGTTCGGTCTATACTTCACAACTTGCATAGAATAANAGAAAAAAAAAAAAAAAAAAGTTGTGGTCTTTTAAAACTGCATTGTTTGTTGGAAACTTGAGCCAGAAGAAGCCTATATTCTTCACTTGACCCCAGACTTCTCTTTTATAGCGCTGAGCAACAGTCGTGAATTTGTCACAGCATTTCTTGAGACTTTCTCACGCATCGACTAACTTTCTTCTTGAAATCATCTCTTTGTTCTCTCCACTCCTTCTGCAAGAATCAACACACGGCAAAAATGAAATAAATTGAAATTTGGAATCCATGTGTAAAATTATCTTTATTTCTATCAACTGCAATGGGAATTGTACAATTCACATTTGATTGATAAATTGGCTTTCGTCAACGAACTGCATTGCTTCGGATGCCCAAAAAATCAGCTAAAACATTTGTGTTCTTCAAGTAATAAAGTTTAGAAAAGAGTTTCAAAGAAAGGAGGAAGAGTGGAAAATTGAAAACGAAGCCAGCTCAAGAATATAAACAGAAAGTTCAATCCATTATCACTTACAGCAGCTTCAACATTGGCCGGAGACTCATCATTAGGGCTTGACAGCATTGATATGATGCTTAGAACAATGCTCTCCACCTGAAATTTTTGATAAAGCGTGTTTCACAAAAAAAAAACATATCAACGCGGCCATAAACATATTTATGGTGAACTTTATAACAAAATCCAACTCACCAATCCACCTCCGAACAAAAGAGTGACAATGAGTTAAGTGTTGTTAAATAAATTAATGTTACTAGATTATAGTCGATGCCAAGTCAGTTGATCGGCAAAGTCTTTTGTGGATGATTTGAAATGAATTCAATGTCATGGTTTGATCCCGACTTAACCCATGGATCAGTAGATACACTCAGTTTTAAAAGTATTAATACTGAAAACACAAAATCCAGAAAAGGAAAACATGCACTCCAATCATCAAGCCTCAGACCACTCCAATAATGGCATATTAGAGAGCTTTCACAATGCATGATATTGCAACGGGATGAATTTTCAACAAGTTTCTCAAAATNATAAGAACTAAGGTCTAATACATCAGTGCATGTTGCATCAAAGCGTGATCATTGTACATTTGTAACATGTACAAGACAAAATTATGTCATCCAAGTTCATGATTAATAAACATGATATCCCGAAGCAACAGATTCTAATGAATAAAAAAATTACTATAAAAAAAATTATTGAAGTACTGAACTTTCCAAGAGAAAAGATAAATATCAAGTGGATTGAAGAAATAAGTAATTGAAAGCTCATAAAAGTTATATATTTTTGTGTATAAGTTCTTAGAGTTTAATTTAGAATCCAAGATAGAGACACCAGAGTCACAACCAACAATGAAAACAAATGTTACGGACGATTACTTCTCTTTGGGTGGTGATTATCAAACCTAAACAAAATCTAGAGCTTGTATGGCTATGCTCATTATCCATCTTGATCTTGAGTTCGAAACTGATTTTGAGATTTTATCAACCATCATTTTGAACATGGCAACTACATTCTAACGAATGAGGGAAAAGGATTTTATACAATAAAGATTGAAGGCATTTGGTTGAATAGTTCTGAAAGAGGCATTGTGCATGATTTCTAATATTACATATTTACAATTTCAGTATACAATGCCATATTAGTATGGTTACATCTCCAAGAACTACTAGCGTGCAATTTATGTAAGAAATTAAGCATAGAAAAGCATGAACTGCTTAAAAAGTTCAATGAAAAAATAATGATCAGGTCCCTGAAACCTCTGTGCCAGAAATCATAGACAAACTTCTAATATTTCACTTTTAATTGTGAAGAATGTCAGAGAAATTTCATAAAATTCTAAATATATTCAGTGGTTATATAAACAAGATTACAAGTTTAGAAAGGCAATAGCTTCTGTTACATGGGCAATCTTTTCAAGATCAGAATTTGAAAACCAGAACCACTAACTGACATAAGACAAAATGTGATCAAGCAAACTCATCAGATAGATCATACCGTGTGGACAGGAGACCACCGCTCACTAGCAAGCTCATAGCCATTTGGATCATCTCCAGGGGGGTGAAGAATTGAAATACAAACCTTCCCATCGGGATAAACTACATTTTAACGAAACTCTTAAGTCTTAATTGAATTCACCAAAAGGCTAAATCCAAAACAACCACTATGCACCTTCCTAAAAAAGAAAGGAAACAAACCATTAGGATGCCAAAGCTCTGAGGTAAATCTCACAGTAGGGGGACTATTTGGGTAGTTCGAGGGGAAAGTCATGATCGCATTGAAGAAACCCCCTTCACTGCATAAGAAATTCAACAACACAACAATAAAAACACAAATCGTGCAACATGATACCAAGCATCAAAATCGCTGAAGTAAGCATCATCAATTCGAACATTATGTAAAAACAAACTAAATCATTCAGCATTGTGCAAAATAAGGCAAAAGTCCCCTAAAACAACCAGCTTTTGCTTCCAAATTACTTGTTTTAAACACATTAATGCACGTACAAATATGTTCATGTATGAGTGTTTTGTTATGCAACATAGTAGAACAAATCCACATAATTGACATGCCTCACATGATATACCAAATATTTTTATTATTTACACTTTTGGCCTTCAACCACAAAGAATGTCAAAGCATATTACAACAAAATCCCAGAGAAGAATAACTGCAACATAGTTTAATCACTCTATCAATCCACGAGATAAAAGCAGTCACACACTCACACACCAATTTTGATGTTAATTTCAGTATTAACATACAACGCATAACACTTCTTTAAGACATACCTTCCACTTCATTGATTACCAGAGTTAATATCTTTTCTTGTATAGTTGTTCCGCCTCCAATTTGAGTTCAAGTTATTATATTAGAAGAAGATTGATGCATCCAGCATGCCTTAAATTACAATGTGTTCAAAGAGCTTCCAGATCTACATAAAGATTACATGCTTTTTCTCAATTCTCATATCCTGCTCATGATCCAAATTATTCATGTGGATTCATCATCTGTAACATCAATACCTCTAGAGAAATTCATGTTATCTATGCTGAAGGAAAACTTAGCTACAACCTTAGGGGTTCTTCGTATCAAAGAGGACTCAAAAACAGATTGTCGATAACGAAAACACGTATTATGAGTTCTAAGCAATGATATTCTTATTGGATCAACGATAACTAGAATGTTTCCGGATTTTACCATAACAGCAGCCAATTGATAAGAGAACTGCAACACCATATATAATGAATTTGTATAAATATCAATTTCGAAAAAAGAGGCTCTTTTGAGTGACTAGTACCACATGGGTGCGATAGAATATACTTCCATTTGAGTGATTTTTTTTATTGATGAAAGAAATGTAGAGGGAGAATCAATGATTAGTTTAATATAAAGTGATGTGACATAAAGAATAACAATTAATTGTAATGTGACCAAGAACTAGTAAAATAATGATTGGTAGTTATAAATATGTGAGCAGACAAAGTAAATTTTATAGATATATGTGTAATGGTTGATTTTTAATTAAAAAAATTGCATTGAAAATGTGAGTGCAGTAGAGTGTACAAAAAGTGAAATGGATTAATAAAGCATCTTTTATCGGTGGATGAAATATAGGGTTGGGTACAAGTGAGAAAGAAAGGTGCTAAGTGATAGAACTAAGAATAAATCGTAAACATTAGATCGGATGATCTAATGGCTTAAAAAAAGCCAAAATTATACCTCGATTAAGGCTAATGTGGTAATTTTCCACAACCCACACACTAACACACACATTACACAAACTCATGCACACCCACGCGCGCGCACACACACACACACTCTCAATCACACGCGCTCACTCTCTCACACACATACACAGACACACACTAACACACACACATACACTTCACACACAAACTCACACACACATACATACACAAACTCACACACACACACACTCACATTCATACACAAACTCATGCACAACTCTCACACAAATATACAAACATACAAACTCATGCACACACGCACACACTCTCACACACATACATAGACACACACGTAACACAGGCATAGACGATAGACACAGGCACAAACACTCTCTCTCACACAAACATACAAACATACAAACTCACGCACACACGCACATGCGCACCACACACACTCACTCACATACACAGACACACACTCACACACTCACAAACGCTCACACACAAACACACACACATGCACAAACACACAAGTGCAATTTCATAAATTTTTAATATATTACAATTAGTTCGTAGGTCAATTAACATTTTATCAAAACTTTAATAATTACATTAATGTTCAGAGCACTGCACAATATAACGTTTGAATATGCACAATTATACAGACTGCACCTACCTTATAGATAGACACATTGCTCATTAGTGTCCGCTATATTGCACGCTAAGTGCATTCTAGGCAATGACTAAGATACCCCTGCATGAAAAATCAAAAGTCTACTTATTTACCGGAACGCCACCGCGTGTTTGACTAAAGCTGGACGCTTTGACCGTGTGTTTAGAGCGTTGATATATCACATCCAAGGGCTATGATTTATTCTTATTTCTTTCATTATCCTTCGTTCTCATATGATCTTACATCCATATACATATACATACACATATACATATATATATATATATAGTCTANAAAAAAAAAAGAAAAAAGAAAAAAAAAGTGAAATATTTGACTGTTCTAGTAGAAAGACATGCATTTCAAACAATACACAAAATTAATCAGGATTGTTTCACTTGTGTCATCTCATGAGGGCTTTTTTCACTTTACATTATTTATATTTTTTCTCCACTAATGGTCAAGCAACAAGGACCAATGCTTTATTTAGCATAGCCGAGGATTGAAAGTATAGTCACCGAAACAGGAAAATGATGTTCTAATTTTCAATGAAGATTATATCCCAATGCAGATGTCGCAAACAAGTAACGACCAGACCAACTATAACCAACGGAAGGTTGTATGCAACTGAATATCTTAAGCTCAGTTGTGGATGCTTTGCAACTTGGTTCTAATTCAATGGCTTCAAATTCAGAGTAAATAATGATGCCATGCAAATAATAGCTTAAGATGTGAGCTCAACCTCCTGCACAAAACAAACTAAACCAACACTACCAACCATTCACATAGCTAATAATATGACTTGAGAATGATAACAAATAACAAAATAGAACCACAAAACATAATCCCAGCACAAGCATCTTCACAGGCAAACAGACAGAAACACAAGACCCCAGATTCATAATCAAAACAACAGAGCATCCAAAACTCATTTCAAGTAAAGAAATAAACATTTCAAAAACATAAGATGCGAGAAGAAAAACTAACTAAAGAGTGTCTGGTGGTCCGATTATGGTAACACTCCATTCAAACAGGTTGCTCTCATCCAGCAAACCAGCAGAAAAACCATCCACAGGGTTTTTGCACAGATCTGCACGGGAAAAGCGTAAATCATTAAAACGATCAAAATTAAACTCGAAGCTGCACAATTAAGCCCATTCACCAACCAGAAGTCGATTTAGGGAAAAAGTGATTTCTAAATTCATACCTTTGAGCTGTTTCTGAAGGAGGAGGCTAGCTTGAGACGGTGAAGCCATCAGATATGGGGAAAAACGGGGATAAAACCTAGATTTCAGATGAAAAATCAGAGGCAGACGAAAGGTAAAGTGAGTGAAAGGAAGGGGCAACCAAATGATATACTGAGATTAAGAAGCAAAATGGAGGAAGAAGACTGTTAATTATATGTATTAGTGTTTACTTGTTAGTCGGCGCTTCGTCTCACGGGTCACGAATCAGTTTCATCCGTATCGGGTTTATTCTACTAGGGTCGGTTCGGGTATCCTCGTGAATACATTGTGGTAAACTGATAGTATTTAATTATTTTGATTATGGTTCGTGCTCATAAAAAAAAACTAGTAAGCATTTGTACTTTAAAATATATTTTTAAAATAATATTTTACTAATATATTAGCCCGTTAACTCCTTTATTTTAATACACAAATATTTAGCACATATATTTAATTTTAATACAAACAAATAATAAATTTACTTATTTTTTTTATCATAATACTCAAATATTATTTTATTACAAATGTCATATAATGTCATTATTATTTAGAAACTTAAAAAAGTAGTATTCTTTTATATATATGTATATTAATAAATATTTAATGTGCATTATTATTATTTAATAATGTAATTGATTGAAAAATATTTAAACAATTCTAAAATAAATATTATGCCATATATACATACTACTCAACTTTTATAATTTATCCTCTCTCATAACAACAAAAAATAAAATCACGTATACATATATATTATTTTATGAAAATATTAAATATATTAAGCACAAATTGTCTCCTACAGTTGTTGTGTGTATTGAAAAGGGGCCACCAAAGGTTCACAACCCGGCGTCCCAATTACAACGCTGCTTCTCAACCCTCCCACTCTTTTTCTGTAGTCATAACACTTTCCGTGTAATGTTTATAAATCTTGTCAAAAGTTGCCATTAAAGTTGCCCAAGCACCAAATGAGCTTATAATTTTTTCAATCAGGCCCAAATATATGCATAGCCCAATGCAAAAATATTAATAGGTATAATGGACCAAAGCATATAACATTTTTGGGCCCAAAATTTATTAATTGAAGAATGATCGGACGGCTATATGAGTTCCATTTAATCCAAGCGTCAAAATACACATAAATAGCATATAAATGGAAAAATCAATTGAGTCTTCATCCGCTGAAACACCCTCTTGTTCTCTTCATCCGCCGACAAACCCTAAAAAATCTATAGCATTTTCGACAAAAATAACTAAAAAACATCGATTTTATAGATTTTCGCCTGCAAACGAAAATCTCCAAACATATTTCAACAATGCTTTAGTCGCATGAGATTTTTTCATCCGAAAAATAAAATAAAATGTTATGTTGTGTATTTTACCCAAGGTTAGGAGCCGAACTTTGAATATCCAATTGAATCGCACAATTTGGTGCACGGATCTACGATGACAATGTTGATTTCTGAAGAATCAACAAAGGTTAGTACCGTTTTTTAGTATTATTATCGCGACTCTTTTTTTTTTTAAAAAAAAAATATATTTATTTGCATGTGATTTTTTTAAATCAAAATATTAGAGCATAATATTCAAAATATATTTATTTGCATGTGTTTTTTTTTTTTTTTTTTTTTCAAAAAACAAATTTGATTCTTTGTGTGTATTATGAAAGGAAAGGATTGAGCCAATGGATTATCCTGCTGAATCCCCCAATTTGATTGACAGATCTTTGAAGTGGACGCCAATTTCCGAATTATGAACGCAGGTTAGTGCATCCGCGAATTACACTTTTGATCTGAACTTGTTAATTTAATTTTAACAAATTAAATGATCTGAACTCCCCAATCGAAAGGTAAAAGAAAAATATTATTGGTTGTGTGTTTTATGTTTTAGACGTGTAAAATAAATTGCTCACAATGGGTGTACATATAGTGATTGAGTTTGTGGTGTGTGCAATCTTAATTATTTTCGCAAGTTGCGTAAGATACGAAAACGTTCGTGTACATAATTAAAGGATTATTGTATGATATCAATTGCCAATTAGGATCACATTAGAATTGTGTTAAAACTAATCTTCCCGAACACATAGGATTCCCAAAAATTTGATTTCCTTAATAATTGATATACGATACAAATATTTACGTACAATTAGACACAAACCAAATCCTGAAAATCCGATTTCATTTATTCCCGAAAGTTTATTTCCCGAAGATACAATTTCATTCATATTTCAATTAGTAATATCTGATTGATTTTAGTTTAATCAGGGTACAATCACGTAACACTTGTTTAACAATTAGTTTATAATTAATTCAATTGACATATTAAATAAGTCTAGAAATATTAATTGATTTATTGTGTTTCAATATATTAATCAATATAATTTTTTAAAATCGTTGGTTTAATTTGGAACTGATTTTATTCCAAATTTAAGAAAAAATTGTGTCTGTACATATCATTAAAGATATGAATTGATTTATATCCTATAGATATTTGTATTGTTCGAATAATCACATCTACTTAAGTAGGTAATTGACTCTTTCTTACAGGTATGGAATATGAGGACTCTATTTTGAAAAGTAATAATGTAAAAGATTCAACCGCAATTTTTGTAAATGAGGACTCTATTTAGAAGAATGTATTCAACCGCAATTTATAGATGTGATTTTATTTTACTACATCTGATATCAATCAGTCCATTAGGATTTAGGATAATTAGACAATTAACAAATAATAATTCATATTGTTGCATGAGCGGATTCAATAGGATCCAATCAAATCTGATCACATTATTCAAAAAATCAAAAGGCTTTTACAATTAGGATTTAGGATAATTAGACAATTAACAAATAATAATTCATATTGTTGCATGGGCGGATTCAATGGGCGAATTTAATGGGATCCAATCAAATCTGATCACATCATCAAAAAATCAAAAGGCTTTTACGAATTAAAGAAGCGGCAAAAATAGAAAATCAAAAGGCTTTTACGAATTAAAGAAGCGGCAAAAAAAGATTAAGAAGCGGGAAAACTGAAATCTTTTTTTCAAAGTTTTTCAAACATTATTTCTTCTCCGTATTATATGTTAATAGATTACATCATAATTGATATAGAATAAAAAAATATCGTTTTCATACCCTATATGACCCTTTTTTTTTCAATAATTATCCACTTAATAAGTTTAGGTATTCTATTTATGGCCCGTTAATCACTTTTTATACTTTTCGTTGGTTAGTACTAATAGTTGTCTGGCTAAAGCAGGTTAAGTATACTGCTTGTAATTAGTGTCTAGTAAGTTCCCGTTGACAATCGAGGATTTCACTTTTTCTCCTAAAATTTGATGAACGAACTAACTAGGGTTCCAAAGTTATCAAATGTTCATAAATCTTCGACTTTCATTTCGAAATTGAAGACTAATTAAGCGTTCGGGGTACATGGCGAGAAGAAGCAAGGACATGCATCAACCAGATTACTGTAACATCTTGTTGTTTTGCTGAATCCGGCGTTTGGTGCCCAGAAATTAGAATTTTTTTTTTTTTTTGGAAATGTGACTGTATTTTTGTTTTTATTTTTTAATAATTGTTGTAGATGTTGTTCCTGATTCAACAATGTTTACATTGGAATTTCACCATGGTGGTGTAGTGAACTATGAGCTTGTTAAAAATTTAATGGTGGATTTATAGATTATTTTGACAATGTTGATGTTTGGTTGTTTGGAATGTTAGAGTCAAGGAACATTGTTGAGCAATTAGGGTAAACAATGAGAAGGTGAGGGTTTGACATACTTATGGTTATAATTTTGAAATGGGTAGTCAAGTTATTGACTCTAATAAGGTAGCATATGAGTTAGTGAACTTTTATCTTCAAACAAAGTAGTAAAACAGGTTTTAGAGCATTTGGATCCCATTGATGACACATACTCAAATCTTATACTAACTGATGAACCTATACTTGACTTTTCTTTTATTGATGATGAACTTGGCCAAAACGAAATGAAAGATCATGAACCTGAATTGAATGACTCAGATGTTGATGAATCCAATGATCTGAGTGAGATATTCAATGATAGTGAGTATGATATGGAAGAGGATGACATTTTGTTTGAATAGAATGTTGACGATAATGTAGAGTTTTGTGGTGTGAAGGGAATAGTCAATATAGCTGAATCTAAATGTATGGAAAGGGAGAATGAAGTAGAACCAGAAGGCATCGATTCTTTTGATCAAGATGATGTAATTTTTGTGATCACAAAAATTAATTTTTGATTAGGATGTGTAGCTGAAAAGTTTATAAACGATATATATCATAAGAAAATGGACAATTGGATTATGGTAAGTACAGTAAAAAAGAACTAGGTATTTAGCAAATTTTTGGACAATTGACCAAAATTCGACAACTGAAAAAACTCATCTTGTACACTATTTAATGTCTCCTGATCAAGAATCGAATATCTTGATTCTCAAAAAATAAAAGCGGAGTTTTCTTATTCACACGTGCTGCCTACTTCCTTTGTTGGTCAACGACAAATCAATTATAAAAAATCTATAAATCATTTCTCAATTTGTTCTCCCATGAGCTTCAAAAGCCTTAAGTAACTCAAAAATTGGTTTCAAAATTTATTGTTATTTGAGTTATAAACTTTTTGTGTCATTTTATTGTTGGCCAATTGGCCAACTTCTCACCCTATAAATAAGGGAGTTCGGGCGAGAGAAAAATGCACAGAAGAAAAAAGGGAAGAAAGAGAAAGAGATAGAAAGAAAGAGATACAAAAATAATTTTGTAGTGATAAAAATATGAGAGAGAAAAATATAGAAATATTTATTTATTATTGAAATAACAAAAGAGTGATATTTTTATTTCTATTTTTAAAATGCTCAATTCTCGACTCCGTTCAAGTTAGCCGGAGCTCGTAAATCTGTTGTGCTACAGATTTAGAGACGTTTGCCGTTGTATCTTTGGAGAAGTTACGCTTGAACCGTTAGCTGCCACACGGGGCGTATTCTTCTTGCGGAAATAGTTTTACTCGTCTCGGCTTTAAATCTTTCCGTTTTGTATTTTATGTTTTAATTTATTTTTCAGTTGTAATTTATTTTTCAGTTCAATTGTAATTTTCTAATTTTAAATTATTTGTAAGAACTGAAAAATATATATCA